TGTACCGAGCTATCTCAGATAAGAAATTCTCCTCTTTCTATAAGAAAAGCAAAGAGCACGGATTGGCGCACGAAAGAAGAAGATAATGAACAGGAAGACAGGAACGACGTTAGTAACATAGAGCCTTCCGTCAAAGAAGCTTGTTCGAGGTTTGGAGTTAATTTAAGGCGCAGAGAAACTCAAGATAATTCTTGTAGAAACTCTGATAATAAAAGAACGGGATTTAAATCCAGAATGGAGACAGTAGAGCCTGCTGCACCGCCAGAGGAAGCACCACCTCCCCCACCGCCACCTCCGCCGCCACTTTCTACGAATACACCCCCCGATAGCTTCGAACGTAAACCAGGCATGAAAGAAATGTTAGAATTAAAATTGATCAATGAAATTAAACAGAGCGCGGAAACAAAACATGGTACGACTACGAAAAAGACTGGAGCGACAAGCAATACTCCATCCGCACCTTTAGATCCAGCGTCGCAGCTACTCTCGGAACTTTGTGCTAGTTTTAATATGGAGTCTGGACAGAGGTACTTGAAGTTAATCAATTCTATTTTATATTATATTTTGTTATTGACTTTTTATTAAGTTAATGAATTTTATATGTACATTTGTAGATTATATATTAATTATTAGATTTGAGTCTTTCTGTTAATATAATTTATTTTATACGTTTTTCTGACTGCATTAGACACGCCCAAAACGAGTACGCTGTATCAACTTTAAAAACCAATGACGTAAATCAAGAACAACAACAGCAACAAAGTCATAACGCTCATAAGGATTCGTCGGTGTCCTCTCCAGTGACCGAGTCTCTCCTGTCCAGTGGAAATGTTGGATTCAAGCTGAAAAGAGTTGACAAGCGGAATAATCCGCAAAAAGAAGAAACATCCGATGGACAAATAATTGATTTTAAAGCGAGACTTCGAAAAGTTGAGAACGCAGAAAAAGAAAAATCCTTGGAAGAGAAAAGTACCGTCACTGAACAGTCTTCAGAATCAGAAGAGCAACAAGATGACAAACGTAGAAGCACTGGTAGTATCAGTAGTTTAAAGAAGCTTTGGGAGAACAAAGAATCTTGTGACAGTCAGCCTCATAGTCCAAAACTCAATGTCAGAGGAAGTGGTGGTAAACAAGAAATGATAGACCAGACAGAAGACTCACCGGAGGATCATAGTGGAGCTTCGACACGTAGTCAGAGGTGAATAATACCAATCTTCGTTCTATTTTGTTATATTCTATTCCAAAGTCCCAAAATTTACAATTTCCCGTTTCAAAATTATGAAGTCTTAGAATCCGTCTAAAGATTAATACTTAAATTTTGTATTGTAAAAGATGTATACTGTAAGAGATGAATAATGATTACTAATTATAGATTCGTGTTTGTAGTTCCGGTAGCAAAAGTGACGCTAGACTATGGCCACCGCCCGAACCTGAAAAACCGGCAGTTCCAGCAAAGCCATTAAAACCACTATGTTCATCAACGAAGCACTTTGGTTCTTCGATTTACGCAACGCCAAACTGTACGAAATCTCAGCACGCTGAGGACGACCTAAACAAACAGAATACAGATTCAAAGACTGCGAAACAGGCAGTATTGGAGCTTTCGACGTTGATTGAGAGCAGCATATTAAACTTGAAAAGTAGTCCAACAATTGTAATGACAAGTTGGCTTCAGCTCTCTGACAAGGTAGGGCTACTACACGGAATGTGCACGAATCTCGCAGACAGTGGTATCGCACCACATGCGCGGTTTCAATTTCGCGAACTTCTTGCAAGATTAGAACTTCAGGCACGGCAGCTTCGTGCAGCCGGTATTCGGAACGTTGCAGAGAATACAAGGCTTCTCACTGATCTTCAAAACACGATAAAGGATGTTGTTAATGCTGTGCAAAGATAAACTAAAAAGATCATTTTCTTCATCTTTACCCTTGTTCTCGTCCTCATTTTCATCTGACAATTCATCAAACTCGTCTGTACACTCGGTCGAATATATTTTGAACTTCTTCGAACAACATTTTTAAATCCTTTGTTAGACTTATTCATTTTAATTTCTCTTTTGCGTACTGAACAACGTTATAGTTTTTCCCCTGTTGCATTTGGGATTCTTTTAGAATATTCGTCTTCGTAACGAATTTTTAATAATTCTGCTGCTATATTTTCTCTGAAGGTGACTCCGATGATAAATTTCGCTTATGGAGAATACGTGAAACCAAGAGTGTTTGAAAATTAGGCCTCAAACCGAGCACGGCCTCAATTAATATCGGTTTGATGGGAAAATAATAATGAAGTCTAAAAAGTAAGATACTAAATTAAAGGATAAAAATATATTTCGATTTCCATTGATATATTTCTTATCATAGACTGCGATTAGCTATTTTCGTTCGGATTTAGGGGATATCGTTATACTAAAAGTATTATTCTTTTGATATGGAGAAAAAAGACCATATAGCGCGTAATTCACTTATATTTTTTATCAATTGAGTTTTACAAAAAAAGAAGAAAAAAAGAACTATTAAGTCTCAAAAGCAAGATGAGTCTAGAAGTATGATAAGTAACTAAGGATTAAATATACTGGTTCCTTAAATTTTTTGAATGATAGTTTTAAACTGGGTAGAGAAGGGGACGAGTAATCGCAATTTATCAAAACAACAAATTCTATATATATACATGTATACATATACTGCAAATGATAGTTTTTGTACACTAAACGTTTGGTTTTTTAAATTAATTATCGTTAATTTTACGTCGATCCACTATGTATCCTGTATAAGTAAAGTTATACGTGAATTATACTCGTCCGCTATACGATAAATGTGGTGATTATAGTTGTCGAGATAAAATGTTTCGGTGTTCTTTCATCGAACCTTTTTGCGCCGTGCTTCGTAATATTGTACGCAGTCTTAGGCTAGAATATACATCATAAGTGCGAAACTTTTATGCGAATACGCCATTTTAATGCGTGAGAGAATGTAACAATTTTTGTATTTGTATAGAATAAGTCGAATAACAGGTATGCTTAATGGTACAGTAGAACTTTGATTGCAAAAATTAATACTCTAATTGATCGACTTTTCGATTAATCAAACTTAATTATCTTATTTATACCGCAACAATTTATTGTCTTCTTCATAATGTTCTCTTTTTAATATTTATCATCATTTGCTACTTGATACAGGAATTAACACTAAGGTACATACTTAAATTTTTCTTTTATTTTCCAAAATCATTATTTATAGAGTCCACTATAATTGGGTGATGTTTTTGGCACATTCTGTGTGCTAAAAGTCATGTGATTAGTCATGTGTTTGTATCTGATCAATCGAAAGTTTGATCATATATTTCAATAATCAAAAGCCAGATTTATACATGGTTTAAGAGTATCAAAGTTTTACTGTACTATTTATGTAAATCAGCGGGTGTAATTAATCAAATTCTGAAGCGTTTTGTTCAGTCCGTGAAATCACGCGGATGTTCTTCCACAAAACGCTAATAGAAGACACAGGACTCCGGATACTTCTTAATAAACAAAGAAAAAACGATAGAAATTATGGATCGTAAAATTATTATTAATGTGGTGAATTAGTAATTTATTTTGCTTTTTATTTATCAATACTGTATTATAGTACGATTGCATTTTAATTCGTCGATCATGAATGAGTTGAAGTCTACATTACGATTCAAAGAATGAACGAGAAATAAATAATCGAATTTAAATTGCATTTATCATTGTAAAGAATTTGTTTTTAGGTTATCATTTAATTTATTAAACCTTAATTGAATATAATGTTATAATTTTATTCTTTTAATTTGCAAGTTTTTAATAACGATGCTAGTTTAAGAATATTACCTTTGCTTTTTTTTTAAGTAGTCTTCCGTGCAAAGTTTCCGGAGTTCTACATGATTTTTTTTTCTTTTTTTATTCAATGACTTAAAACTTAGAAAATGTGCAACGAGAATGGAAATGTCACACAATTCATCAGTCAAGCAATTTTTCCTTGTAACACTGCCTATGTTATGGCTACTAGAATACATCGATCAACACACTAGTTACGCGAACCGGAATTTCTCTCTTTTCGGTCCGATCACCTAATTTCTTTTTGCATCGTTTGTACCTGTGATACACCGATCGACTTATCTTTTATCTTCAAAGAAAAAGAGAGGAAGAGAGAGAGAGAAATAGAACGGCTGGGAGGGAAACAAAGACATGAGCGATCGTACGAACGAATTTTCGCGAGAAGCACTAGATGTACAGATTTTTGACTGAAGTTTTAACGAATTCCTAGTTTAAGTCAAATATTCAACAACAAAATATTATCTGTAAATACGTGATCATTTTCAAGGAATTATATATAACATTATAGTATCAATTTCTTTTATAACTTTTTAAGGGTTTTCTTAGCCTAATTATATGTATATCATTTTAACTACTTCAGATTCTTATTATAGTGAGCTCATACATTATAAAGACTGTTTTATCTACTATAAATAGAGAATTCTTAATAATCTATAATTGCATGTTATATTTAAATATAAAATCTTGTTTTATTTTAGGTTTTATATCTATCTGTTAGGATGAAATAGAATACAGGTGAATGTATATAGAAAAATGTTATATACAATTCCTTCAAAAGTTTAGGTAATTATAGATAATATTTGCCGAACTTTATTAAGATAACTGCGAACTACAAATTGACAAATGTTTCATTCAAAAACTTGTATATGTAGAACTTCTCATAATTTTATTAATCAGTGAGTGTTTCAGTTGATGAACCGTTAAAGGATATAAAATCGATGTTTTATACGATATGTATCATAGTAACATTTATGTCTAAGTATTTATATCTATATTTATTTTTAGTTTTTTCTCGTGTAAAGTTACTCCTAAATGATCGACCAACGTACTGATTCACTAATACGAAAATTTTAATATCGCTTTATACATTGATATAAGACCGACGATAGAAATAAAAAGGAATATTGAATCAAAAAGATTTTGTGAATATTTTATAAAACAAATTTATTATTCTATATTTTAATTTACGTTTTCTAATACTTCTTGTACCCGGAAACAGTCGCTTACAATCTTCCACTTATCTCCCATTGCTGCTATCAAGAAACTCTGGTTAAATGGCTTTGATGTTTTATCATCGTATTTTACTTGTCCACCAACTTTAACCAGAAATGTCAGTTGATCAGTCATGTCAGGACCTAAAAACATACATATTAAAAGATTATGTGACTAAGGTAAATTGTATTAATTTTCACACTACCATAATCATTACCACACCTAGGTTTAGTTAAAAATTTGGAAGAATTACATGTTGGATATCATGGTCAATTATGATTTATTTACCTGTTATTGGTTGAGCATCTAATGTATAAACATTATGGACAGAAACTGGTAAATCTGTCCAAAATTTCTGTATATTATCTTTGCCTTCAATGCCATTACCATTCCATATTAAAGTTGCAGTATCCAAGTACAATCTCGATATAAGCTACAAGTAGTTAACAATTATTAAAAATTTTGAAGTACTGACTTTTGTTCATTAATTAATTAATATATTACTTACATATCTTCGTTTATCTACACTTTCATAATAAAGTTTTGTAAATTCTTCAGCTGTACGACAAGCTTGATCAATTTTTGTTTTTAAGTCCTGTAAATATAAAGTCATATAATACATTACACTGTAAAATTTTAGTTATGGAAGAACAAAATATTTTTTTAAAGTACCTGTTCCATCTTTTGTAATCATCCATTAAAGACCAACTTCTAGAAAATTTACCGTTTTTGTTGTTTCAAACTAATGATATATTTATGATGCAATACAAATAGAAAATATAAATATAACCTCTATAACGTAAGTAAATTACTTCACGCAAATTTTTTCCTATCAGTATATTATTTAAAATAGGCAGATTTAATTAAAAACAAATATTTTTATATCTTCAAAATACAATAAAGGAAACATTGCACCTTTTATTGAAAGAAAGCACTATTGTTATTGTTATAATAGTGCATTTATATATTATTGTCCTTTTGAACGCGGGAGAAGATGAAAAATACTCAATACAATTTTTTACTATCCTATTTATGTAATATAGGTGTTGCTATAACCTATGCAATAGTACACAAATGATTCTAAAATGAAAATCATTATTATTTTAGGTTCTAGATCTTCATGACAATGTAATAAAAATAAATAAAAGTTTCATAAGTATTTAAAAAAAATCAAAACTGCAGTAGTACTATATTTCAATGTTTATATACAATGTTTTGCGAATTATATCTGCATTGAGACAATAAGATTCCATAAAACAAATGTGATAGCTATTAAAAAGTTCAATATTTTTTTTAATAAAACATGTATTATTTATTTACATTTCATAAAATACGAGTACAAATAAAATTAAATTTTTGAGGTTCGTAGTTTTACTAGTTACTTCGTGATTGTACTGTTGTAATTTCTAGTTTGTTAATAAAAGTACTAGGTTACAATTTGTATTTTTAAAAATTATATATAAAACAAGAAATATCAAATAATTAATAAATTTCTTAAAAAATGCTACACTTTGAAGATACTACAGTTTCTTATTTTGCCCCATGGATCTAGAAATATAGGGACAAAGAATGTCTTTGACGGGGAAGTCCATTGCAAGCGAAATCGGTGCCTAGATTTAATTGGTTGTTATTTAGTGCAACATCGAATTTAAAACTTCACATTTCTGAATTTGAAATTTTTAAATGACGAAAGTAGAAAATTTGAAGTGTCTGAATTTCTAAGTTTGAAAATTAAAAAAATGTACAATTGGTGTTTTAGTTTCATAAATGGTGGTACAACATGCGCAGAGACATAACCAATCAGTTTTTAGCATAATCTGTTAGGGTCCTCTCATGTTAACTTTGCTTTTTCACTAGCAATCCAACCTTACACTCCATCCCTATATTTCTAGTTCCATGTTCTGCTCTGTTCCCAGAGCCTCTCGTGGCCTATGGATAAAAGCAATCTTGAGATCTCACCGTGTCGCGGGGTCACGTGACTCCGCGCTCAGACAGTTATTTTTTTAGGCATGATGGCGCCAAACAGCAGTATCCACATTAATGTAAATATAATATCGATTTGGTGCACCGCGCGAGGAAGAAAGCCTGTGGGTGTCCTTACGGAGGCTATTTGAGGGCGTCGAGCAAGCTCGACAGGAGCCCTCGGCCTACGAAGTGAGTAAAATCAAGGTGGTCGCGGTTGCGACTCGAATTGCTAATGAGGACATCTTGGTTAGGCTGCCGTGACAGAGGCGTACTCGGACTACTGCCATCTCGGAGCTACCGATCGAAGAATAATTCGATCCTTCACGATCAGACGTACCGGCTATTATTCGTCACGTGCATCATCGCGCGCGAAATCACCCTCTCCGTCGATAGATCAATAATAAGGCATTTACTGCCTTCCGACCATCTCTATCTTTTTCTCTCTCTTTCGTTCGTCTTCTCTCTTGTGCGCGCGTGCGTGTTCATGTCCGCGTGTGCGTGTCGAACTTGTGCTCGCGTGTTCGTATCCGTATCGTGTGCGTTTACATTCACGTCCGTGCATACCCGTGCGTTCACGTCGCGTGTGCGTATTTACTTACGATCGTGTGCATGTGTGCTCGAATTCGGCTGCGTGTGCGTACCGATGTGTATACGTGTGCGTCGAGATCCGTGTGCGAGTCGAGCCTGTCGCCATCTGTATTGTCAATGTTGTCGGCCAGCAGGAGCACCACCAGCCCAATGGACCCGTGAGCATTTTCGACTCTCCGCCCGATCTTCTTCTAGACGTCTATTCTCGACCGCGAGCCTCGACTTCCTCGTGTCGAGTCATCGAAAGTCTTACGGCGATTCTTCACGGTCGAGCCTCGGCGCCGCTCGAGCGTCGCCGCGGAGTAACTCCGTCGCAATGTTTACATGCCACCCGCCACGGCGACCAGTTTCTCGAGGATCCTTGTGCTTTTGCAACTACTCAGGGCCCTATTGCGTTACGGGAAAACGATTTCGTTTCGATTATAACTCTTCCTGCTGGACTGCCCCATTTATAACCTCTCCGCGGCGGCCATCGAGGATCAACGGCCGCAGACCCCCTGCAATACAATCGGTCTATACCATCAGTCCTTTTGTCCGATTTTTCTGCTCTCAAACGTGTTTGCGTCGTTTACCATTCTTATATGAACTTGTTAGTGTGAGCTAGTTAGTAGAATTGTGAATTTGTGTTACCAAATACTTCTTACACTCGAGTGCTACTTTTGGAAGTTCAGTTCGTGGAGGGATGCTTTGTGCCTTGCGCTTGTGATCTCTGTGTAATACTAGTTGCTTACGTTTATTTTATGGTTTCTTTCCTGTTATAGTACTTGCTATTAATCTTACAAGTATTGTTATAGCGTGCATCATGTGATATGTGACTGAATAGTTGCATCCACCTGTTTTTTTTTTCACACGTTTAATGTTATACATTGCCATTATGTTTACATATATTTTCTATTGATTAGAATGATTTCTTCTTACTGTTTCTTTGATAAACAACCATTATTCTTCATTTGTCTGATATAACGCGTAATTTATTGAATTTATACATTGTTTTATTCTCAATTTGGTTCCGTGTATACCAAATATTGTATAATAGCATGAAAGCTTTATTTTGTGTAACATTTTTATTAAAATAATATAATATTGGTACAAATCTTTCTTTGTTTATAATGAACTATCAGTTTTGCACCAGGGATCATTTATAGTGCCAAGATGAAGTTAATACTTGTTGAAACATACTTTTTAATTGAATTTCCTTGTTTTTATTTGAAATTAGATAGTACCTTAACTGTATTTTTTCTGTTACAGCTCCGAGAGGAATCCACTTTCTAGATAATAAATACATGGACGACTATGTAGTGAGTAATTGAATACAAATTTTTTTTTATTTCTTTTAAAATTGTTTATATAATTTAAACAATAAAATTTTACAGGGTGTGCGCGGCTCACCTGCACGTGCCACGTACCGCTAGCTCATTTGGTATAGTAGAATGGCACAGCGAGGCAAACGAATAAATAGAAACGACAATGATTTGGCGTCTTGCCCAGGCGCAATCAAAAGGCGCAAATGTAGGCTGGGTCCAGCGACGGGTACGACGTCGCTGGCAGCTACCATGGGCCCCTCAGAAGAGGAGGAGACGATGGCGTCGTCCAGTCAAGGAGGGGCATCCTGGACCCCCAGACCTCTTAGTGACATCAAAATCTCTAGTATATACAATCGCTCCTCTGCTGAGGCTCCCGCAGAATTATTTCGTAAGGATTTGATCAGCGCAATGAAATTACCTGACAGTGAACCATTAAGTCCCAATGAATATTGGGTCATTACTGATCAATGGAAGCAAGAATGGGAGAGAGGTGTTCAAGTACCTGTCAACCCAGACTCCCTTCCTGAACCAACAGTCACTATCACTCAAGCAACACCTGTAAAGCAGCACAGTGAATTCAAACTGTAAGTTACATTCAGATATTTTATTTGTAATTTAATTCAATCAGAATTTGTTTCAATATTTAAAAGAATGTCGAATGAGTCTCAAATAACTTTTTGTGTTCATAGACTTATTGCAGTATGAACTATAAATTGTAAAATTATATTAGCAGTAATTGTTATACAAGTCTGACATACTTTGAGATTGTACAAAAGTTACTATCATTTGATTAATTTGTAAAATTGTTTTAGTAATTTCCTTTGGTAACAATATTTTTATAGACCTAAAAAATTCGTAAGGATATCTCGTGATGATTATTTCAACCCTGAAGATCATCATTTAAGCACAACACCTGCACGAGCAGAAAAAGCTTGTGCTTATGATCTTGATGATACTGATATTGCGTGGTTGGATGTATTAAATGGCGAACGTGCACAGGTATATTTATTTTGTATTTTTATTGTTTATTATCATAAGACGAGATTAAAAATCGATCTGTTAGTAACCACGGCACGTTGTTATTAAAGTTAATATAATTACGATTATTAACTTAAAGTATAAAAATAAATGTTTCTTCGTAATTAAAAAAATATCCAACTTTGTAATTTTAGGCTGGTCAGTTACCTATTACAGAATCACAATTAGAACGCGTGATAGAAGAATTGGAAGTTCGTTGTTGGGAAAGAATACAAACCATTGTAAAGAATGAAGAGGGTCTTGGTATTGAATATGACGAGAACGTAATCTGTGATGTTTGTAGATCTGTAAGTGTTTTTCCAGTAAATTTATAAATAGAATTATTAACTTTGAAATACATTAAAAATTAGAACGTTTATTTTCTTTAAAGTAAATTCTTTCATTTTAATATATAAAAAAATTTTGTTGTTAGCCTGACTCTGAGGAAGGAAATGAAATGGTATTTTGTGACTGCTGCAACATATGTGTACATCAAGCATGTTATGGAATTACTTCGATACCGGACGGTTCATGGTTATGCAGAACTTGTTCTCTAAGTCAACGACCAGATTGTGTTCTTTGTCCTAATAAAGGTGGTGCTATGAAATGTACTCGTAGTGGCCAAAAGTGGGCTCATGTTTCTTGTGCTTTATGGATCCCAGAAGTCAGCATTGGCTGTGTTGAAAGAATGGAACCTATTACTAAGATATCCAGTATTCCGGTACATACATTACATTTAATTTATAATCATCGAAAAAAAAAACTAATTTATAAATTAAAGTTCATGTAACAAATTTTTCATTACAGCAAAGTCGATGGGCTCTAATATGTGTACTATGTCGAGAAAGGGTCGGTGCTTGTATCCAATGCAGCATAAAGACGTGTAAGACAGCTTATCACGTGACGTGTGCCTTCAAATATGGTTTGGAGATGAAGGCAATTATTGAGGATGAAATGGCTGACGACGGAGTAAAGTTAAGGGTATTTATCAAATGAATTATTACTTTAATCGTTACAGGAAAAAGATAAATTATTTCTTAACATGCATATGAAAAATAGCAGAATGCATTCACTAAATGAAAGGAATGAAATAACACTGAATTATGATTGAAAGAAAAAATAATTGGTATATTTATGAAATTTGTTTACAGTCCTACTGCCAGAAACATAGTAGAACAAACACAAAAGATAAAGTTCAAGGCACTGGAGGCAGTATAGGAAGTGGAGCTGACAAAGCAGGATCTGATTCTGAAGATGCAGAATCTAGGAGACGTAAGAGAAAGGATATGACTTCTGAAGAAAAAAATCAAGCACGTGCTGCAAAGTATGTTTATTCTTTATTATTTACTTTTATATAATTTTTGTTGTATTAAACGAAACGTTTCTTTTGTTATCAGATTACAAGAAATTGAAGCAGAATTCGACAAACATGTGAGTTTGAAGGATATTGCTTCACAGCAATTGGATGTAGATCCCGAAGGCATAGTTTACATATATAATTATTGGAAACTTAAAAGAAGAGTAAGTATTGTTTAGGAAAATAAAATTATTTGGTTATTTTTTATTAGTAAATTATATTTCTATTTATTTAATTTTATAGGCTGGCCATAACAAACCGCTGTTAGCACCACGTTGTGGAGAGTTGTCTGGTAGTGGCTCACGCAATCAAGGACAGGCAGCCGATCTTGAAAAGATGCGGACGTTCGTTCAACTTCGCCAAGACTTAGAAAGAGTCAGAAACTTGTGTTACATGGTTGGTAGAAGAGAAAAACTCTGTCGGTCTTTTCTCAGGCTACGAGAACAAACTTTCCACAAACAAGCTTTAGTAATGTCCGGACCACCTTTACCACCGGAAGCTGCCGCTGCCGTGATGGAAGCTAATCATGGACCTTCGATTTATGACCGCCTCTATTCTCATCCAGACTCAGAGGACCACACTCATGATTTCGACACTATCGTTGCCCGAATCGCTGGTATAGATTCTCCAACTAGTGACGAGAAGAAGACGCAACAACAACAGCAGCAACAACAACAACAGCAGCAGGACTTCAATGGTGCCTCTAGTAAAAAATTATATTTCAACGGCTCCGTCCGAAGAAAGAATCTGTACGGCAGTGATTTATCGTCTGTTAGTAGCAGTGAAACGGATGCAACGAAAGCGAAAACATCCGAGAAATCGAAGAATCTGAAGCTTGAGAGTGACTCGAGTACCGAAGAAGAAACCACCAGTGTTCCGTCGAAAAAGTTATCGCGTAGAAAAGCGAAAAAGACTGTTCGTTCAACAGATAAGTTACATTCGACGCTTAAAGAAAACAGTGAAAATGAAAAACTCGTGAATAGTAGATCACACACGCTTGAACATATGGAAAAAGAATTAGGAAGTGCTTCTGGCAGTGAAAGCGATGAACTGTTGACGTTAAACGCCGGAACGACCAAGCATCTCGCTGCTTCGGCAATTTACTCAGATACAGACTCGGATTCCCAAGAACACACCTCTCATTCAGCAGTGTTAATCACGAAAGCAGCTGTCAAGGAATTTTCCGCGGCAAATTTATCGAAAAATTCACAAAAAGGCTTCGGTAAAGACTCTAGGCATTCTGAATCCACGTACCACAATACGGGGACGAAAAATAAAGAGAATCAAACTAAAGTCAGTACTAAAAAGAAAGAATATATACCTTCTGCACTGATTGTACCGCAAAGGCAGGCAGCGAAGAAGGCTTCAGAAATCATGCAGCGCACACAACAGAGCAAAAAAGAAAACCCAGTGCCTGAGTCTAACCCAGAAGTGGTTAAGTCTCCTGTCGAGGAACTTTCAAAGTGCTCCTCTTCGAAGCAATCAAAAGACAAAAGTCCTCCTAAGAAACAAAGAGAAAACAAACCATCGAAGGAGATTAAAAATAACGATGTGTACGATTTCGATAAAGATTTCGGAGATGGAACGGAAATTTTAGCGTACGTGCCGCAGAGACAAGCTGCGAAGAAGGCTGCGGAGCACATAAAAAGCGGCATGGGCAATAAACCTACTCAACCAGTTGAGCCGGAAACGTTAGACGGTAGATCGAAAAAGGAATCCCCGGAGACTGGAAAGAAAAAAGAAGCTCGAAAGGACGATCCATCCTCCAGAAAGGAAGAACTTCCTGCGAGGAAAGAAGAAACATCGTCATCGTCGTCGTCATCCTCATCCTCTTCTTCGTCTTCATCGTCGTCATCCTCTTCTTCGTCGTCGTCCTCCTTATCCTCCAGAAAGGAAGAAGCTTCTAGAAAAGAAGAATTGTCCACGAAAAAGGACGAGTCTTCTTCGAGAAAGGAAGAGGTCCTTTCGAAGGACAATCATCCTAGAAGACCCAGAAAACCGAGCGAACGAAAGTCGTCGGTACTTTCAAGTAACAGTGATAGTAGCAGCAGTAGCAATAGTTACAGTAGTTCCACGGAAAGCAGTAGTGACTCTGAGAACCCTGGACGTAGAAAACTTTCTGACGATTCGATAGATGGTTCCTCTTCCAGTACTTCATGCGAAAGTGATAGTGGTAATCGAACGAAGAGCAAAACGGCCGCGACAGCTGCAACAGCCATGGCGAATAAAAAGCAACAACAATCTAAAACATCGCCTGAACAACAGGAGGCCGAGAGGAAATCAGTTACAGGGCGGAAACTCAAGAAGCTGCCCGAGAAGAAGCTTAAAACTTCCGACGGGCGGCGGGGACCAGAGTTTCAGCCGCCTACTGAGAGAGAGGAACCTCGTAGAATCGCCAAGGAACAGCAACCGCAACAACAACAACCAACACCACCATCCCAGCAACAACAACAACCATGTCAGCAACAAGAAACAAGTACAAGTGTCAAAAAGCAAGATCAAAGAGATAGCAAGAAACAACCAGCCACCGGAACGGAGGTTGATGAGGATCTGCTCGTTGGGTCTGGAGATCATGATGGGGCAAGAAGTGTTTCTGGGTCCAGACCTGCCAAAAAGTCGGTTCAAGCCGGTAAGCAGCAGTCTGTGCCAAGAAAAGAAGAAAAGAAAGCTAAATCCGAAGGCAGAAAGCGAAAACAGAACGAGTCTGTTGCGAAAGATGAAAAGACCGGGAAAGAGGCGGTTAAAAAGCCGGAAAAGCGGATGAACGAGAAGCAGTCTGTCAAGGAGAGCGAAAAGAAGGACGAGGAGGAGGTTAAGAAGGATGAACCAGCGGTCGTAGAGCAAGGAAAGACCAGTGAACCGGAGAGTTGTTCGAAAACCGACGAGAAGAAAGTTAAGAAGTTTGGCGGCAAGGATGCGATCAATACTTTGGAAGAGGAAATGAAACAACGTAGAGCGGAGAGAGACAGCCCGAAGAAATCGTTGAGGGGTTTGGATAAACTTTTGGAAAAACGCGAGCACCACGATAAGATGTCGAGGAGTAAAAATTCGGAGGTGAAGTTGGAAAAAACTGTTTGCGACGAAGAGAAGGAAATTAAAGAACCGATAGATGAAAGTAAGCACATGAAAGACAGTGTGAAGAACGAGGACCACAAGAATCACGTCAACGAGAATGAGGCTGCTGTCGAGAAGACGAAATCGGAAGAACAGTTGGAGGAGGAGCAAATAAAGAAGGATATCGTTGATGTGCCGCAGATCGAGAAGCTTGCAGTCGGAAAGAAGAAAACGGAGAGAAATCTGGAGAACGCAATTGAACCACCCAATGTTGAGTTACAAAACATACCAGTTGAGGAGAACGTTCCTAAAGAGAACAACGAGGAAGAGAATGTTAAATCCGTTTCGGAGAGAGTTGACAATTTGGAGAAAGAACATCAAAAGAGGCGAAAATCGGCTAACCGATCGATCTTCTCGCCGCAGCATGGGAAAGATGCGAGTGTCTCGGAATTGTTTGATTTCGATCAAGATATGCTGACGGAGGAGATGGTGAACGAGGACGGATTTGGTATATCTAGGGACGTGGAAGAACGGGGCGTACCGTTGAGTTTCTCCTTCAACAACGAACTGTGGTTCAAGGAAGATTCGAAGGAAGATAGCGCTAGAGAAACGCTCCATCTCGTCGAGAAATTGCGTATGGAACTCTCGAAGAAATCAAATTCTAGTCAGTTTGAATTAGAGACAGTACCTGTAGACGGCGAAATCAAAAAAGAGGAACCACCGATAGAGAAGACGTTCGAGCAACAACAACCGCAGCAGCAGCAACAGCCACAATCGCAATTACAGCATCAACAAGTGCCGCAACTTCAACAACAGCCGCAACACGAGCAACCACAAGAAAAGGAGGTGAAAATCCTAGAGTCCATAGAGCCAGTTATGAACGTGAAGAATAACGTTGAAATTCCTGAAGAAGAAATCATCACTAACGAAGCACATCCCAGTAGCTGTAAAAATACAATAGAAGAGAAACGGAAAACGTGTTACTCGAGCGGTAACGATAGATACGCGGCCTACGAAGAGGATCGTGAGGCGAACAAAGTCAGTTTGGTGGAGCGGGCGAAGCTCGATCGAGCGGAGACCGACGAGAGGTGGGTTCCGCCGAGCATCAACAGTTTCGAACCCAGCGACGTGCAACACCTTAATGCTTTGATGGAAACTCAGAATCATCGATACGGCAACCACCAGTTTCCCAATGAAACCATTCAAGATCCCGAAACGATCGCACGCACTCATTTGAACGCGCCGAGTATACAGGAACAATATCTTTTACAGCAATCGCACTCCATGCTTCATGGTCAACAAGAACCTCATGAAAGAACGATGCTCAATCAACAGATACCCGAGGAGAACCCTATGGAAATGGTGAACAGACATCTAATCGGATTGCCAGCATCGGAGGACGATCAGGCCGCCGAGATGATGGACAGAGTACTCGAGAAAGAGGAAGACGTCGTCAGGCATCAAGAATACGATCACAATTCACCATACAATGACTTGAACGGTCGTCCAGATACCCGATGGGCAGAGAGTCAGGTGTTACCGTCTCGAAGGTCTACGTCTTCTTCGATCACCTCCGCTTCGTCCGCAGAGGATCATTCCATTCCACCGTACAAAAACGTAGCGGGCATTCCTTTTCCACCGTGCTCGATCGAAGCAACGTATTACGCGGACTCGAGCTACGGTACCGGCCCGGTAAGTCTCTTTCCGCCGCAGTCGTGCGCGGCGCCGTTACCGTATCCTTCACCCGGGCCAGCCCTTTTTCCACCGGCATTCGGCGCAGCTTTCCCAGCAGCACAGTCGTTGTTGCCGCACGTGAAACCACTGGAGGACTCGTTAAATCTACAGGCTTCACCATGTACTGCAGCGTTCACGTCTTCCTCGCACAACATGGCGCTCACCGCAGCCATGGTATCGCCTACCAAAATAGCCACACCGCCACCGCCACCACCTCCACCACCACCGCAAGTTACCGCCCCACCTGCCGAAACCATCGAGAGGACACAGCAACAATTGCAAACTCAGGTCACCGAATCACCTTCCTTGCCCATGAATTTCTTGAACACCGTAGCACCAGAGAGTCACGTCAGCGACACCGTCGTCGAGAATCTGCAAGAAGTTTTGCCGGACGGAAAGAGTCAGCACTCCGGGAAGAAATCACCTTCGAAGCCTACTAGGACCTCGGCCCGGGTTACGTCTCTGCAAGGGAAGTCTCCAGGGAAGTCCCCGAGACAGGAAGCTCAGAAGAGCGTTCCTGGAGCACGAGGACGCGGTAGAGGCGCTAAGAATTCATCGCAACACTCCGGTTACAGGGGACGCGGTCGAGGCCGAGGTAGGGGACGAGGTAGAAGCGGTCAAAACGCAGGACTGGTCTCTGGTGTTAGTATCAGCCAGCACGATGATTCCATTCAGAACAAACTAGTCGGCACGGTGTACGATTTCGACTCCGACGAGGATTCGACCAGCGAGGCGAACATCGCCGACCTGCGTACCATGAGGGAACGCAAGAAGTCGACGGACGCCGCGGCAGCGGGCATCGAGAGAAGGGACTCCGCTGTCCTGGCTTCCGGAGAGAGCATTCAATCGAGACTTTCCAGTCCTGGAGGTACCAGAAAGTACTTGGAGGACAGGAGACTCTCTTGTTCCCCTGGTCACGACGACTCCACCGTTGTCGAGAGTCAGTCAAACGTTGGACAGAGCTTCGATACCGTCCTACCGGTTATTCCTGGTCCCGTCGACATGAGAACCTACAACTCTACCCTCGACGCTTCAAGTTCTTCCACACTACACGGTCAGACGTACGAGAATCATTTCTTGGGATCTTTCGCTGGTGTTTCGGCGAGCGATCCTGCTCTTCCGGACATCGAGGAGGACCTCGAGAAGGAGTTAAGATCCGCGCTGATCGGTAAACAGAGTCAAGAAGACTGCTCGAAGCCGAACTTCGACGCGAGCATCGACGCGTCGTCTTCCGGCTTTGTGGACGCCAACAAGGTCTCTTTGACGGACTCGAGAAATCAACTGAAGGTGAAGATCAAAGGTCCGTTCCTCGATGCGAACTATGTTCCTGCCTCATCGGTACCACCGCTTGCTCAACAAGCACCCGTGATAATTGCTCCGGCTGCCACCAGTGCTTCCGTCGCTTCCGGAACCTCGAACCTCAGGCGAATGCGGAAGAAGGAGCTGCTTAGACAGTATTGCTCTCAGGACATGAATATGGACGAGCCAGGTTGCGGAAATCTTGCCACGTCCGCGCCGATCATCATGCCACCCATCAACCGTACGGTGATCACCATACCGAAAGCTGTCGCCTCGATGACTAGTATACCTACCAGAGAGGACTACAAGGCGGTCGTCGACGCGAACATGGAGAAGAAGAGAAGAAAAGAACGGCCTGCCGGCTTCTTAGACGCCAACGAGGAGGAGGGAGGCGTCGAAAGGAGACGAAGCAGCGCAGCGAACGGTGCTGGTTCCAGCGGTAACGCCGCGATCGGTAACACGGATCGCAGGAGAGGAAGGCAGAGTAGTGGCGGCAGGTCGACGACGACCACGACCACGACTACCACCTCGAACAGTGGTCCGCCGAAATTGAAGATAAAGATCGGCAATAGCATTATCGGTGGCCAGGAGAGCGGCCAGGACGACAGGACCAGAATCAGACCGCCGAAGAAACGGCTGAGCAGCATTCCTAGCAGTACACCGAGCATCGAGGAGTTGCGCAGAGAAAGTATGAAGTTTAGACGCATGATCATGGCTGGTTTCGACAACGACGAGAAACTTAGAGCAAAGAGTAAGAAGGATAAGAACGGTAAGAGAAAGAAACGTCAATCGAGCAGAAAGGAAGCCAGGGTGCGTATCCTCGAAGGTGGTGCTGCCCCACCAAAGCTGATCATCACACTGGGCAAAGGCAACGACTCTCCCGACGACTTGCCGATCTTGCTCACGGACGAAGAAGAGGAAGAGGAAGAGGAACGACATCCGACTGACAGTAGAGTAGGTCCTCCGCCTCCGGAACCAGCCAAGGACGAGCCTGTCTATCCCGCAGTAGCTGCCAACATGGAAGAGAAACAGCCTACCGACCCCGACACCGGTGGCAGCGCGCCTAGGAACGTTCGTTCGGCCAAGGTCACGCCGATCAGGTTAAAATTGACGCGTTGCCAGGAGGGTTACGAGCTTAAGGGCTCGCCGATCCATGGCGAGGAGCCATTAACTACGGAGAAACCGCGAAGTTCCGAAGTTTCGAACGAAGAGACGAGAGATCCACCGATGAAAAGCCAGGAGGAAGAGTCCTCCAGGGAAGAGGAAGAGGAAGAAGAGGAGGAGAACAATAGTTCCGTGCAAAGAGACTCCTCCGCGTGTCCTGCCGCGACAAGTATACCACAAGGATGCCAAGTTAGGTGATAATTAATGATACTCGTGGAGTAACGGAGCAGAGGACACAACACGGTGCTCGTACGATGTTTACAGTCGATTGAGAAACGGACTCGATACACGCTTGTTTCCGGTTGCTAGCTGTGAAAGCACGTTGCCGTTATAAGGTGAAAAAACCGTTCCGCAATTTGTACAGCTCCAAAATGACCGAGGTACTGCCTTATTCTTAAAAAGACAATTTTATCATCTGTTGGATCTAGGAATGTGTGGGTCATCGAACGTGGAGGGTACCTGAGCTGTCGGGGTGGGTCGGAAGAAGTCAGACGAGATCGGACGAGGACCTAAAACATATGGATTCTTGGGTAGCAATCTCATTTTCAAATTTGGACTTGAAATTTTTGGGTTTGGACCTTTTCACATTTGAGACATAGAGACTTAGGAATTTTGTAAACTTAGGAAATTAAAGACTCGATAAAGTGCAAATTCGAGGACTTGGGAATTAAAAATTTTACCATTTAGAAATCTCTAAATTTATATATTTGAAAAATTGTTACTTTCAAAATGAATCGTAAGTATGAAGTATATGATACAACTTATAGAAGGGTATTTGAACAATATAAATATTTTGACTTTGTCTCTACCCGAGTCCGTATGTCGCATACTCTTCTGAACCCGTTTGACTTCACCGACTCGACTCGAACCCAAAATGTCGGATACCCGCACATTCCTAGTTAGTTCGTATCGTTGGCTTAGTGGACCAAACCGTGAACCAACACGTTTTAAAATATATCATGGTTTTAAACCAAACTGTTTTTTTAGTTTTTTCTTTATTTTGTTAATGAAAATTATCTATAATAAAACATTATTTTACTCGAATAACTTAGTAAGTATAGATTTTATAGAGTCATGCTCAATGAATAAATGAATTATAGATATAAATAAATAGTTCCCGCTAGACCTACGATACGCAAAAGTCATTTGATATAGAATTTTTTTTATGATTTCCCGCAAGATTTTACAAAGTTGTATATATAAAATAGAGAAAGATACTTGCGCTCTGTTGATAATATTTATAAATTATGTTTTTATTTTTTATTATTATTATCACGTTATATTATACATATATATATATTATATATACATACAAGTTCGTTATTCTTTATTCACCATTAATTAATGAATTTATTTTAATAAACTTCACCTTCTTACGGCAACAGAAACGCAAAACGAAAACGGTGATTTTGGCAAGAGAGGGAACAAGGTGGTAGCAACTTCTAAGATATACTCGTATCGGACTCGCTTCAAAGGACATTCTCCGACGTTAAAAGGAAGAAAGAACCTATGCTCCTCGAGAACATTCGGTTTTATTCTTAAAACGCTAAACAATACTCGAGAGACGAAAAAATGGGCGTGCCATTTCGCGGCGGCGACGAGATGTCTATGTTTTTTTTCCTTAAGGAAAAAATCTGATCGAAGAAACACGGATCGGAGCCGTTCACGAAGATCACGAAACTCTCCGATATCTTATAAAATATTTAATTTAATTCTCGTTCGCAAATTTTTCGAACATCGATGTACGCGCGCACGTGTAACGTATTTAGCGTACAAAAGGATAAACGAGACAGGACAAGAATTCTCGCGATAACTTCGTGAACGGCCTCGCCATTAATTTCGCAGTAAGAACTAGTTAATTGTACATACTTGTAATTTACGATTGTATTTAGTTTAAGTCGAGGAGAGAGTTGTGTGCGTGAGTGTGTATGCCAGGCGAGAATAAGAGAAAGAGTTATTGTGCGAGAATGGGCGTGAAAGATTTTATAATCAGTGCGAAGCTTACGTGATGGCTGTGTTTTACCACGCGGTCCGATCTTCCAGGCAAATTAAATCCTGGGCCGCGCAGAAACGTTCAGTATCCCCCCAAAACCGTTGGATTGCTCGAGTCTCTCCCTCCCTCTTTCCCCTTTAAAACGAGGCCGTTGGTTGAATATTACGATAGAGAGATAGTATATAAACAAACAAAAAAAAAAAATAGTAGACGTTCGGGCGGAGAAATCCGAAAAAATGTAATTTATCGTATACGAGGACAATCCTGCTGCGCAGCAGCAGCTTCTTCGATGAAATTAGACGAATTAATCGTATAGTCTCTTTGTCGCAATAATTCGAATCTGTCCACGATTATGCAGTCGTCTTGTATCATGTTTTAACGGGAGATCTTGTTTAATAGTTACGTATTTAGATCGTCGTAGTATTATCAAAGCAAATTCGTAAAAACTATCAATACGCATTTTCCCATCGTTTTTATCCATTCATTTTGATATTATATATTATAAATATATATATATATATGTATGAAGTATATTTTACACAAAGTACAATGTTAATAATTTATTCTTTAGTGTAAATAAGTTCTATACAGAATTGAGGTACGTTTTTATACGGTAGTATATAGTTTATAACACGATATAGTTCGTCGTTCGTTCGCTCCTTATTTTTTTGTTTTTACGTTTTTACTTTGATCGATATAAAGTAATCTCATCGAACGTTGACATGCGCGTGTCTTACAAGATGACTGCGTAACGTGGACACGAGAATGTCCTTTTGGATGTTCTTTGAAGAACTATACCGAGAAACATACACTGGCGAGCATTGTTGGCTTCTGTAGGAAAAGCGTCGATATCGAAGACGGTCACTCTTCACTTTTCGTTAATTTACAAATTTTCAAATCTACTGTAGGAATTTGAGAATTTGAAAATTTTGATAATTGGGCTTTCAAAATTGAAGAATTCGAGAATTTAAAAATATTTGTATCAGAAAATTTAGAGATTTGGAAATTTTTAAATTCACGCGAATTTAAAAATTTGTCTATTTAACAATTGGAGAATTTGAAAATTTTGGATTTAGTAAATTAGTGAAATTTGAAAATTTATTTCTCCCAAAAGCGAAAATAGAGGTAGTGTGCTGCCTGTGTACCGTCCTTATCCGAAGGAAGCCTACGTTGCATCCAAGTGCATAATAAGCGTAAATATCGTTCGTGCTCGATTCAGAGTGTGCAGTGTGTTGAAAAAGAAAAAAAAGAATTTGTCCTCGTTGGACCCTCCGCCATGGCGCCAGTGACAGAGGAAGGATCTTCCTCCTTTTGGTGGAGATAACGTACTTGTTTCTGCTTCCTCCTTCGCTGTGTTGACGAAGGGAAACGTAATTTCTACGCTCGGAATCCGGGGTACGGAATTTCTCTGCGCGGACCGGTATATAAGTAACTTTGACCCTAGATCCAGTCAGATCAAATCATACTTTTTCCTTACATACTTACTATTTTGAACAACAGGAACTATTTGTTCAAGTTAACTTGGATTTGAGTATCGTATACTACATCCAAAAATAAACAATGTGGATGCGAGTTGATTTAGCCATAGTTTTCATGTATTTTTTTATATATCTATACCGTTTTTATGCGTACAAGAGAGTTCCTCTATTTAGAAGTACCGTATCCAACAAGCGAGAGATTCCTGAGCTAAATGATTGTTCTTTTTCTTTTTTTAAATCAGTATTTAACGTTTTAAATTATTGACGATCCATGTATATGTACATACGTGTACATATATGTACATCGATTTTAGAAAGATGAAATCTGTATGATGGAATTTAGAATTACAAAAACAGCATTCTAACTGTACTTGTTGTGAAATTAATTTGAATGTGACAGGTTTTTGTGACAATGTACGCAGTGAAACTCTAATAGCGTTTTTAATAAGATATAATTATTATAAATAACGGTGCAATACGCTAGAAATACATAGACTAATACTTGAGCGTCTAATCTGATAATAATTTAGAACACTGCAATCACTTAGAAGTACTTTTAGCTCAAGGATCTCTGCAATGTAACACACAATTTTTATTGTACGATTTATTATAAAGGATATAGGAATTACGTTTGTACGTGGATCATTGTATTTCTAAATATTGCTACACAGTAAAAATACAGGAAGTCGTCCACGTTTTTTATACAAGTACATTTTTGTTGTTTGTATAATTTTACAATTGATGCAGCTATAAATAAGTTCGTTTATGGAATTGTAAATAACAGAAAATAAGATTAACTTGAATTGTTTTAAAAATTGAAGATCGACTGGTTCTAGGATCAAATAGAAAAATGTTAATTGATTAGAGTCGTAAATTCTGAGAAGAGGAATAACATTGTACGCCCTGGAAGCCGGAGAGAACTTGTCGGCGATAAGCGGAGCCTATTGCGTTGTACAGAGGAAGGAGAGCCAAGCGGAATCGTTATAATTTCGACTCGTTTCTTACTTACGCTAAGCATAAAAAACCGATAACAATGAATTTCTCATAACTCGTTGTACGTATCCACGTTGCAGAATAAAAATAAAAAACAGGAAAGGAAATGTGGATGCTTACAACGATTCAGGACACATACGTGCATATATAAATATATAAATATATAAATAGTTTTATTATATTGCAAAGTGAAATAATACAATATTTAGCTACTGTATATAATGTAAAAGAAAAGCTGGTCTTGTAAGATACGGATTAAGGTGTTTTAATGTGCACATAGCCGCGTCATTGTCAATAATCATATTATTACGATTAATAATAATTACAGTTTTTTAAAAAAAATCGATGAAAATTGTTGAATTGCATCATGTTTAACCCTCGACCCTTTTATTGCAACGATGAAATATGTTTAATCGAGAATATTACATAAAATATCTTTATTAAATTTATTTTTCTTGTGTAATCTTGAATAACGTCGCAATTATTGATAACAGTTTTGTTAAAGAATTCAAATTTCGTGGTTTTTTGTATGTGGTGCCATTTACGCTAGATGGCAGTGCTAGCAATTTTCGATTTCGAGATAACGAGTCATGACACTGTGTTACTTGCTAATATAAGGTTATTGTGTCAAAATAGAAACAATCGTCTAGTTTAAATTATTTACGGAGTGTTTATTTAGTTAAAATTGATAACGAAATGAAACCCACACTTGTAGCTGATGAAATGTTTCCGGACGGCGCCGGATCTTACATTGAATTAGAGGAGGTAATTGTATTACCATGCTGAGGTTATGTTTATATTGACAGTTGAGTTCGTTTCATCTTATGTTTTAAATAATTTATAAACAAAAACTGTTTTAGGTCGGTGGCAGTCGCTTATTAGTCGATCTTACTGCAAGTGAAAAAGCAGTACATGCAGACTTTTTTAATGGTACTTAATTAATATTTATCTGCCATTTAATTATTGCTGATAATATAATGTTTATGAGTACTAATTAATTTTGTTTTTAGATTTTGATGATCTATATGATGACGATGACCTTGAATAAAAATGTGTGAACTATTAGATTATCAATAACTATCATGGCCATAAGTTACATTCAATTAAAACGTATTTCTTGTTACAAATTTGTAGTAAGTGATGATAATAGAACATATGAATCATATTAATGTCTATAAGTTGCCAGTATTAATCTATCATCTTTTATTTAAAATGATAAGATAACAGTAACAGAGTTGCAATTAATATTAATACGTATAATATATAGACCCATACAAATACTTATAAAAAGATTAAAGTTAAAATAATATTTAATATTGTAATTATGTACTTATAATATTTTATTATAATTGTGAACCTAAAACAAGCAAAAATTTTATCGAATGAGAAATAATTAAACATATAAAGGAAAAGAAATTGATATACACAATGCATTAACATTATTACAATTTATTATTTTTAGTTCGAAATTGAATCAGACGTGCGCCCGCATTCCAGAATACCATTTATCTTGGTACATTAGTTTGGGCGATATTAATTATAAACGTGCCATAAGAAAATGAGTACTGGTCATAATGTCTCGTACACATTAATATCGATATCATTGCAAAGATTATAATTTACAATACATAGATGCTAGTCATATAAACCTGTTAAGATGATGCACAATTAAAATAGCACCCCGGGTTTCAGTCGCGCCGCATAATCATGGATCCTGTCGATCGTCATGCATCGATAGTCCCCTTTTTTAAACGAGACGTTCTGAAGCTTTTTGAGTTTTATCCCTACGCGATTTGTTTCTTGCATTTTTTGTGTTTCTCCTTGGCCCCAATCGACATTTAATTCATTTTTTGACCATCCTCATTTCACATTAACAGACTTTTATCAACGGTGGTAATGAGGCTCCACTTTCACGAGATCCTCGATTACCGGTACTCGTCCGCATCTTGATTGCGTACGAGAATGATGTTCTTGAGAGCGATATCGATGACGACCATGTCGAGTACGCTGCTAACAGTGACGAGTATCCTATAATAAAAATGGTATTTAGCTCGATGAACATTAATGGTACATCTACAATAATTATCCTCTATCAAATTACTAAAAAATAATTATTTATATTAGGGCGCGTTTACACCAACCAGACGGATGTTCACTCTTGCAACTACAAATTAACACGTTTCAATTCACCGCACTAAACATTCGAACTCTTCGTTTAAACTTTATAAATTTTCACATGTATTTCGTAGTTCGATATGACTGAACAATTCACTCGATGTGCCGTTTACACTAAACGAACATGAACGAATGTTCTCGTTCAGTCTAAACGTACCCTTAGATAAACATATATGTACCCTGAGTCCAGCCCCGAGAAAATCGTTCGGAGTGCTAGTTAACTTCGAGATCACTATCGGCTTGGTCATCCTGATCACTTTCTTCCTCTTCGTCTTCTTCCTCGGAATAATACTGCGAGGGTGGCGATAGAACATCCTCTGAAAGTGAAGTGTGAGAAGATGAAGGAGGTCGAGAACCTTCCAACTTCGTGTCCAGGTCTTCCATTGAAGTACTTGGTCCAGGAATGGTCACTGGGATGAATTTTTCCAAATCACCAGATGCCAGCTCTAATATAAAATAATAAAAATTATGAGCTTGATAACTACCCAAAACTTCATTGAACACCTTGATATCTCGTTTTATAATTTATAAATAATACATACGTTCCACATATTTTTCCAAAGATTTTGGAACCATTAATTTAGCTTTTCGTAAATTTTCTTCAGTGCACTCGCCTTTTTCTAAACCTAATTAAAAATTATTATTTCTGATTAGTTAAATGTTATCAAAGGTTTATTAAAATATCAGACAAATTTTTTACCGAAAGCTAAACCCATTTGTTTTAAAACTTCAATATCGTCATGAATTTCGAACTTATCGTTAAAATTGAACAGGTACTCGGTTCTAAAACAGACACATTAGTATTATTTCCACTTAAAATTAAATATTAAGAACGATAAAATCATAGCTTGTTAATATTAAGTATCATACTTGTCATTCGAAATGCTGCAATCTATTACAGTCTTTTTGCTAGTATTCACAATCAGGAATGGCAGCTGTATGGCAGAATTTGGTTTTGGTGGGCCACGCAGACTCTCATTGGCACGATTACGTTCCACCAAGTTTTTAAAGGAGATATGCGAAAGGATCAATTGGTGCAATTGTTGCGTTTTCGCTTTGATTCTCTCGATCTTTTTCTTTTTATCTTTTTCAAGTGCCAAACATTCCTGAAGAGAATTAGTTGGCAAACCTAACCACCTAATTTCTTTTTTCTCTTTTGAAATGATATTCATCGCCATTAAAACGTTCAGAGCATCGTAAACACGTCTTCTAATGTTCTTTTGATCATATTGCTATAAGTAAAATATAATAAATCATACTATCAAGTCATGTTTTTGTTATGAAAGAATGAAAAGAAAAGTGTACCTGATCTGTTAAAGAATTTATATGAGCAGGATTAGTGAATTCTCCAACAAGTTCATCTGCAACTTCGTTGTACGACGTTGTTCCCTTCTTTTTAACTTTTTCACAAACTTTCATTGAAAAATGACGTAATCCTTTGCCTACTTTCTCTGTTTTTCTTCGTTTACTATAAAGAAATAAATTTATACATTTAATCATATAAGTTCTTTTTTATCTATAAAAAGTCGTATAATAAAAATAAGTTATTACTCTGGTACAAAATCGCCACCCTCAACATCCTGCCTTTTCCTGGAACCACTGTGATCCAATATTGGACTGATATATGTTTTTCCACTTGCATCCTTTACAAGTTGTTGATTACCAGATTGTTGCTGTTGCTGTTGCTGAGACACTATTGCCTGTTTTATATCGCTCTGAGAAAATAAAGTGAAGAAAAGAAACAATGTAATAATACTTCGTTTTCAACTTTAAAATATGAATAAAGAAAAAATATTTTCATACAAGTTTTACCATTTGTGCGGATGTCAACTGAATGGTCTTGGTCAATACAGGTTCACCAGCTTTTGTTGTTGCTAACTTTGTATTCTGTAATGGTATTGTAACCAATCCTAGAAAAATAAAAAAAATTTTTTTTTTGTTTACTTCTAATGGTTACATATAAACATATAATAGATGCATAAAAACTTATAACAAACATGGGTCTATTTATTTATTAAAGTACTTACTTTGGCCAGGAGTTGAAGGACTCTGCAAACTGATAGTTTTAAGAACTTGTGCGTTAGATGACAAAACCTAAAGGCAAAGATGTATTAGACTTATTGTTAAAGCATAGAATTATATCTATTTATGAATCAACTAGTTGTAGAAAGAATTAATGAAATGGCAGATCAAATTATTAAATTTTACCTGAGATTCTTGGCTCGGAGTCTTAAAGACCTTAAGGCCACCTGCATTTGTTGTACTGACAATACCACCCAATGCCTTATTGGCTGTACTTTGCACTACCTTTATTACTTGTGGGTGACCTAAAACATGTATAAGTTTTCTATTATTGTTAAGTTTGACATTAAAAAAAAAGCACAAAATACATTAGTTTCTTCCAAATTAGTTATAAAAAGATATGAATAACTGTTACAAATTAACATAAAATAATTCATTGGAATTTCATATCATGAAAGTTCTTTAGATTACTTTTACTATCAATTGACTAATGAAGTAAACATGGGCATTTGCACAACATCAAAAACTTATCAGTTTCCAGTGCATTAAACAAATTGATCCTATTGAATCTTTATAATTCAATTGAATTCAAATATTAATTTAAATAGGATCTCTGTATTCAAATAAAGCATAAGGAAGTGAGAGTGATCCATTCGGCTGAGCAATCAAGAGAAACAAGTAATATATACCTATTCCAAGGTAAATAGAGCTGCATAGTTTGAAAAGAAGTTAGATTGATTCATCCCATAATTGGAGGGAAAGTAAAAACTTATCATCTTAAAAGCAATACAAATATTTTCTAGAAAAACATGATATAAGACCATATATGAATATAAGAAAAGAAAAGAACTAACAGGAACTCATAATTGAAAGGAATCAGTCAGAAAATAACAGGAAAGTGAGCATGAATTAAGGAGAGAAATAACAATAGTGGAACCAAGCGATCTCCAATGGAAATGAAAGAAAATTGAGACTATCATCGAAGCGAGGCATGCTGATAATTGGCGCGCACTCGGCATACTCACCGTTCGCGTCATGTATGAGAAAGTTCATCGTTTTGTTTTGTTGCGTCATCCTCGAGGTTAGAATTCCGTCCCGGCGTCACCGACGATCACGACGATCGACCGAATGCCGAGTGAAAATAAAAAGATCATAGGTACACTCGCTAATCTTGGCTCGGTCTATCACCAAAATGGCGACTATGATATAGAACCATTTAAGATCAGAATTTGACGATACACGGATTAAAGAACGTTCTAATGCACGCGTGAAAGTAAAAGTCAGCTGTTTCTTTATCGTACCGAAACGAGCATTTTAAGGAAATACTTGTCTGCATGCAAAAATATCGCACGAAAATCTAGCTTCCGCGTGCACAGTACAGAATAGAGACGAGCTTGGCGGCACGACAAAGTTAAACAGCTGATTGGTTACTTTCCCAGTCACGTGGCTCCTCCTGTTCCACGTTTATGGGCACAGTATCTGCACGAAAAACCTGTCTCTAGTGATACAAAATGATGGATATTGTTATAGGGATTTTTCTTTGCAGTTGGTACAATTTGTTCTAACTTCAGCTAATAATCATACTCCACTTCCGCTCCTTCTGCGCATACTACCTCTGTTCCATTCTGCATACTTTGCAATTTATGGTAATGCACATGCGCTTCTATAATGATCGTGACGCCAAAGAATGTACCCAACAGAACAGGAATTTTATAGATTTCTAAAAGATGCTCAATGAGAGATAATTCCATTAACCCAAAATGTTCTTTTCGCCTATATTCATATATTGTACGAATGTATTAGAAAAATTGAGTACAACATTTCTTTCGTCTTATATATTTATCATACCAATACCGATTCTTGCTGTCCATTTACTTTTACACACCATGTATATAATCATGAACGTAGAAACATGCTATAGAGGAGCATCATGATTTTACTTAAAATTCCCTAGACTTTTTAGCTGCACGAATATAATTTGTTTTCAAGAATAAACGAATAAAGAGAAATATTGTATTATAAATAACTTTAATGAATAAAAGGTTCATTCGCCATTTTCTAATTTTATATATCTTTTCCTAAGGGATGTTCTCAAATAACGAGTTTATTTTCCACTAAGTTTAAAAAAAGATCATAAATTTAACACTAATTTGTTAAGCGGGAACTAAATAACTATTTTCTATATTCAATTACAATTTATTCGACATTAAAATCGTAATTATAGTGTTGTACTTTATGTAAAACAAATATTGTAGAACCCATTATACATTTTCGCGCCATAATTCAATATATGATATATTGGTTGCACAATATAACATGAAGGATATTCTTGATGTTTTTAGGCATTCAGAATAACATTAGACAAGACAATTTAAAAAATTTCAGTGTATGCATTTTATCAATTCAGTTCTTAAAGCAAGATCAATTAAATTCAAATACAAAGTAAAAGGAATAAAAATTACTTCATTCAAATTGTAGCGAATTACATTTTAATAAGCGAATTGAAATACGATTTTATTTTCAACGCAATCCAATTGGTTGAAAGAAAAGTTTCTAGATAGTTAAGACCAATAATGTTTTTGCAGATTCTGCGTTAGTCGTGAAAGAATTTTGATAAGAGACGTCACAGAATCGTACAATTAGTCAAAAGTTTTTAAAGATAAATAATTAATTGGTAGGGTTCATTAAAAAAAAACTATATCGCATTGCGTAGAATCGGTATCTGTTATTGACAGAAGTGTCATAATCGCATAAATTGTGTTTTTGATACGAAATACTGAATTGAAAAGTAGTTGCCTTATATGTGCGCTTTTAAAAGAATAGCATAGGATACTTCGAACCGAGGCTGAGGGTTCGTTCAGGGTCTGGCTGAATGGTAAGATTATTTTAAGGCTCCCGAGGTGATTGAAAGGCACAGGTTAAAAGTTTACTATCGTGTTCGACAAAGTCGCATTACCGCAAGTCGCAACTTGACCTCCTCTTACTTCTTTAAATCGTTCAATTTTTATTTTGTATTATTTATTTCCCCTATAAAAACGTATGAATCGTGTCGCTTTGTTGATTTCTTTTTTTTCCACCTGAATCTCTGTATCGTCATTATATCGTTGATCAACTTGATACACGACCTCCATTTTTGTTGCAACTATTTCATTCGGCATATTTTTCGCAGTATTGCTTGATTCATTTATTTTTTTCTTTTTTTACTATTTATCAATCTCTCGATTATAACTGTACGAGAAGTACAATTTTTAGGTTAAATTAAATTATGTACTTTCTAAGGGAAAAAGAATGAATGCAAATTAATGTATATATAAAATCATGTTTGATGATAGTAGGTCGTAGCCTGCAACAAATTTGACATTTACGTCTACAGATATAACCTGAAGGAACTTGTTAGCATCATCGACTGCAGACCTTTAATATATGAAAAATTTGAATATATTGAATAACGAATCTATTAAATATTTTAAAAATAGAAAGTTTTTAAAATAATGGCTTTTAATTGAGAATTTAGAGTATTTATCGTTACGAATTAAATCATTTATCATTTATAGATTTAGTATAACTTTTTAATTTATTTCATACTTTGTTATTACTTAACTTAATATCGCTAAATACATTTATAAACTATATTCAAGTAGATTTATTAGATTTTTGCGCATAAAATTTATGCAATAATGTACAGTTATATATAATGATATGTATATAGCTATTTGTGGAATTTCATTGTCCTATATAGTTCATGCGTTTGTAAACAACTTGAATCAGACAAGAAATATATCTAACGTATTTTTATTGTTTTTATATATTCTACAAGGTCTGTACATTGTGAAAAACATGCCTCTGTTCGGAAAGTCTCAAAAGAGTCCGGCGGAGGTGGTAAAAGCTCTTAAGGAAGCAGTAAATGCATTGGAGCGTGGTGATAAGAAGGTAGAAAAGGTATGTTGTGAAACCATATTTCGGTTTCTATGACGCAGTACATTGATTTTTAGGCTCAAGAGGATGTCAGTAAAAATTTGGTACATATAAAAAATATGCTGTATGGTACAGCAGAGACAGAGCCTCAAGCAGATATCGTTGTTGCCCAATTGGCGCAAGAATTGTATAATAGTAATTTGTTGCTTCTACTCGTGCAAAATCTTAGTCGCATAGATTTTGAGGTATGTTTAAAAATATTAATTTTAAATACTATCATAAATTATAAATTCTTTAACAGTTCTCTAATAGCAGTAGTACAACAATACAAGCAGGTACAAATACAGAATTACTAATATAAAATTGTTTAATTTATGGTGATCTATTTCAGCACTAATAAAATATGTTTTAAAATATGATTAATCATATGATCATTTGCTATTTGTCAATAGGGAAAGAAAGATGTCGCTCAAGTATTTAATAATATATTACGAAGACAAATCGGAACTAGATCTCCAACAGTAGAATATATATGTACCAAACCAGAAATATTATTTACTCTTATGTCTGGGTAAGTCTTATAATTGTTACATTCGTGTATTTTAAATTTTATGTTCATATTATTTCATTCTATTTATTTGTAACTATCATTTGTTACAAATATTGTTACCATCATTGTTAAAATGTTTGTAATTGAAAGTATATGCATCCTTAAATTTTTAATTCATGTATATAATTACAGGTATGAACACCAAGACATCGCTTTAAATTGTGGCACTATGTTAAGAGAATGTGCAAGATATGAGGCCTTGGCAAAAATAATGATTTACTCGGACGACTTTTACAATTTTTTCAGATATGTTGAAGTGTCAACATTCGACATAGCTTCCGACGCGTTTTCTACGTTCAAAGTAAGCGATGATAAGCGCATGATATATCGTACTTAAAGTAAACCATACTCTTGGTGCATTCGGTACGTTGGTTTTTAGGAATTACTTACCAGGCATAAAATACTGAGTGCTGAGTTTTTAGAAATTAATTACGATAAAGTTTTCTCTCATTATCAAAGGTTATTGAATTCTGAAAACTATGTTACGCGACGGCAGAGTTTGAAACTGCTAGGAGAACTTTTACTCGATAGACATAATTTTACCGTATGTATAACTATAAATACTTGTTTAAAAATAGACATCGATATATATGTCCACATATTTTTTGTGAGATATATTGATTTAATAATTTACAAATTTCAGGTAATGACACGATATATCTCGAATCCTGATAATCTAAAATTGATGATGAACATGCTCAAAGAAAAATCGCGTAATATACAGTTTGAGGCGTTTCATGTTTTTAAGGTATATTTTGTAATATAAAAATCTCTAAGATTTTTGAAAGTAGTAAAAGTAATTTGAACAAATGCTTGTAAGATTTTGAGAACCGTTTATCATTTTTAGGTATTCGTGGCAAATCCAAATAAACCAAAACCGATCTTAGATATATTATTGCGCAATCAGGAAAAATTAATTGAATTCCTAACGCGCTTCCATACTGATCGTTCCGAAGACGAACAGTTCAACGACGAGAAGGCGTACCTTATTAAGCAGATAAAAGAACTTAAATCTGTACATGAGAATTAAGTCCAAAATACAAGTTATTGCTACAGCTATCGTTAACTACTACTATTGAAGTCTATTCAGCTGCTGTTGCTACTGTTACACCATCACAGTCACTAATGTAGCCAATTACCATTATTTTCTTCCTCTCTTTCAGTCTTTACTCTCCCTTTCTTTCTCTTGTTATAGTTATCGTTGATCGATTCATAATGATTCGATTATTATTATTATTATTAATATTATTATTATTATTATTAATTATTATCGCTATTACTTTTATTTGCGAGTAGTTCTGTAAATAAAGTTTTCGTTTAATTATGTATTATTGTATATTTACATGAAGATGGTTGATATATTTCCACCTCATATCCATTAAAATGAATAGCATCAAAAGCAGAGAAAGTATTCCTTTTTAAAGTTGACGGTAATTTTTAAATACAATTATACTACCTTGTAGGTACTATTATATTTTACGTTACAAAATGATAAGAAATTTTGATGTTAATACCGTACTTTAGTTTAAAATTTATACCAGTACGAATACTTATGGAGACCTTGGATAATCAATATTAATATGTATACATACTGCCAATATTTTAGGATTCTCAATATTTATTGATGATACATAAATAATGATAATATAATATTGACAATATATATTGAAAATCCTGAAATGTTGACGGTATATATTGGTCATACGAGGTCTGAATTAATCATATTATTTTTCCAGTAAGAAGGAACGAAATTTCAATTGTAAACAGCGAGTGGTAGGGAGTGTCACGTGGTTTTCAACGACAGCAATATGATGGCGGTCAGCTTAGGCTAGTCAATAACGATCAGTATTGGTCGGAAATTTTGACATTAGCATCAATGTTACAACATTGTTTAGTGAAACGAGTCGAATTTTGTCTTGTAAACGTATACTGATTTGGTGTTTCAGTGCAATCGTCCGATAAAAAGATATGACTTTAGATGGAATTCATAAAAATTGAATCATATTTGTATCATGTAAATTTAATGGAGAACGAAATCACATGAGATTGTTCAGCTTTGTGATGATAGGTGATATCTTTGCCAGTCAAGAGTATGGAATAAAAGAAAATGTTCGTAAAAGACCCCTGTGGCATCGTGTGTATTATAGTTACGTACATCGCTGTCTTTTATGCAGATTATGTCGTCGTACGCTGGGTTATCTTGCATAGTTTACAAGACAGGTGCATTTAACAACTTTTTTGTATCTTATGATCATGTTTCTTCGTAGTTTTATATTTACTTTGTATAAAATTAATTATGCATAAATTTATAATCATAACAGTACAAAGCTGTGTATTTCAATTTCTAAATAGCTTTTACACACACCAATTTATTAAATACCTTTCAAGCTGGAAATCCATCAAGGAGCTAAATTAAGTAATGCTATGTTATATTACAGTATGTTGCATGTATAAGGAATTGTGGAATAATGTTGCGCTCACGATCAGTTAGTGGAAAGATATGAGATAGAGAACATAGCATACGATTTCTTCACAAACAATCTTTCTAGAACATTGCGTATAATACCTTTCTCTTTTAATACTGTATTAATTATCTATACTCACATACATGGCTTAGCGTAATTTTCTAGTAGCTCCTAGGATTAAGCACAGCATAATGGATTTTAACTTTTTAAGCTTCCTTGGTGGATCTTTGTCTTAATAGAATATTTCATTCTTAATCATTCACATTATTGCACTTTTACAGTGAGTAAAAACACCAAACTAAAAAAATAATATTTATATTATCTACATAGTAATTTGCAATTAACATCTTTTTATATATTATTATGTACAGTTTATGGGGTCCCTTTCATGTAGTGGCTTTCAATATTGTAGTATTATTATTGATAATGTCACATTTGAAGGCGGTCTGCAGTGATCCTGGTGTTGTGCCACTACCGCAAAGTCGAATGGATTTTTCTGATATTTATACAGATAATCCAGAAGCAAAACTTGAATGTGATGAGAGAGATAATTGGACTGTTTGTACTGGATGCGAAACCTATAGGCCACCTAAAGCACATCATTGTAGAATTTGTAAAAGATGTGTTAGGAGGATGGATCATCATTGTCCATGGTATGCTATAATTTATAAAAATATGAAAAATGTTTCCACTTTTGTAATTTCATCAAATTAAATGAAAGTGAGAATTATGTATTTATTATTGATGATATTATGATCATTTTTACTTATTTTGACCTTCTTTAAGTTTTAGACCTTGCAATTTATTTTAGTTTAATAAAACATATTTTGCAATGTAAATCTTGTTTTACATCTGAAAAACATTCATCATATTCTATCATGTATTCATTGATATTCTAAATATATTGTACATTTTACATGAAGTAATTTTTTTGCTCATCCATGTATAATGTATTTTTTATAATAACAAGTATATTTGTAATGCTGCTGAAAGGATAAACAACTGTGTTGGGGAAAGAAATCAAAAGTACTTTATTCAGTTTCTGGTGTATGTTGGAATATTGGCCGTTTATGCACTAGGTTTGGTGATAACATCATGGATTGTAGAATGTTCCAGATGCAGTAATGACATAGCTGTTAAACAAAGTCGAATGTATGTGTATTTCATGTACTTAAGTATTATATTTTATTAATTCCTGATTTAAATATTTGCATTCAAATTGTCGAATTTTCATATCTTTCTAAAAAGAATTATTTTACTACGAAAACAAAAGCTTTCTGCTTTGAAAAGAGATTAATCAAGAAGTTTTTTCTACAGCTTACACTGTGTTATATTGGTTTTGGAATCAGCACTATTTGGCATGTTTGTCATCGCAATACTGGTAGACCAATTTCAAGGTATCCTGGGAGAAGAAAACACAGTGGAACGCATGCAAAATAACCACCATTATAAAAGAAACAGTTCGCGTACTTTGATATTACTTTCTCAAGTTTTTGGTAAAAGCCATCCAATGCTGTGGATGCTACCTTGCCAAAATACTCCACGTTATACTTTTAGAAAAGATGCATACTTAATTGATCATGAAGTCTAAGTGCATAAATTATTATACACTATTATATTTTGAGAAGCAATTACTTCTTTTATCATAAAAGATTAAAATATTATTTTGTGGTGTAAGGTTTTGGAAAGCAGGAGATTTATACATGTAATAATTATTATTAAAAATATTAACACTAGAACAATCAATATTAAATGTACACTTACTTTGAAATTAAAAGTAAATTGGAAAAACAGAAAATGGTTTGATTGCTCTAGTGTTAAATTTTCTTATTTAAAACTAGACAATTTCCAGCATTTTATTGCTAATTTTTTTATAAAACCATATTTTTCTTAAAAATAACATTGTATAAAATTATTTAAGTACAAAAAGAAGAATGATGTAAGAAAAATTATCTTAAAGTGCAAATCGATATGTTATTACCATTCAATTTTATCTTTTTGTTATAATATACGATATTCTTATAACGCAAGATAAAAAATTAACACGTCGTTTGTTACTTGATAAATCATTCCATAAGATTAAGTACTCTCAGTTTAAATGTGCTTTTGAACTTAATGCTCATATAATTAAACCAAGTATTAGCAATTATATCGAATATAATATCGTACGAATATTTAATTAAATTTTAGTAATGCTTGTAAGAATGTGCATGTACTAACAAATTATTGAATATATCTTCCATAAAATTCCGTAATGTTCAAAACACTTGACAAATTTTAGTGTGTAGATTTGAATACTAGTCGTAAATAACTTTCAAAGATATTGAACAGGTTTATTTGTATTAAAATTATGTAAACGAAAGTTGTAGATATTATGTTGTTATTATGTTATATATGTATATTGTGTTAACTTTTTGCATTATTTATATGCCAAATTAATATATACAAAGGAGGTTTTTTATATTATAGGCAGGGAATAAAGTTCATGGAACTAAAATGTTTTATTTAAGATAATAAAAATAAAATAATTTAAGTTTTTTATTTTGTTTATAAAAAGATTATTGAAAATTAGTTACACTTTGTATAATGTTTAAAGACAAGCAGCCATTAAACCAGCAACATTTTCAAAATCAATTTTCTCTGTAATATTTTTAGTTTTAATATTCTCATCCTGATTGGCTATAAAAATTATAGATTTACCTTCTTCTTTCCATCCATATTTTTTTACCCAATGTTTCAGGGTGGTATCTGAAATAAATGTAATTATTACATTTTGTGTTTATACTGATTATTTTGTTAAGTTACAAATTCCATGTCAATTACCATCAACACCACCAAGAAGTTGTGCTAAAAGGCTTTTGTCTATTGTCTGGAAAGTGATTCCTACTACGTGACAAACAAATTTCCTTATAGAATCTTGAAATCCAACAATTCTATCACAAACATCAGACATAGCCCGAATTTTGTTCCACGAATGTTGAAAATCACACTGTTCTAAAATATCTCCTAAGTACATAATGTGGCTAATTGGTGTTTCCACCATCTGTAAAAGCACCATGCAGTTCATTCATTATTACTATCTTGTAAATAAACATAGTAAATATTTATTGTATTATAAAGAATGGATTAATAAATGAATAACTTACAATTCTCTCATTCAGGAGACATTTACACAAAACAAAATCAGTGTGTGGAAGATTAGTTAAAGCCTTCAACAATATCTGGCATGTAATATCCATGTTAAATCTATGTGGATTTAACTGGTATAATTTTAAAACTGCCAAGTTTGCCTCTAAATCATATGCATTTTCCCTTGATTGTATTTCCACATATTTTTCAAGTGTTGCTAAATGATCAGGATTATATCTGCACATAAATTTATTTTAATTAAATAACTTGTCAAAATTTGGTTATATACTTGACATATTAAAAGTAATATATACCTTTCAATACCTTTCAGCATACCAGCCACTGTTTGACGCATTGCTTCAGCCATTATGTTAAAAAAAGTGTGCTTTCTTTGATTATTTGTAAAGAATAAAGTGAATTACTTGTTTAGTTTACGAAAAACAATTCCTTTTAGGTTAGAAAATGCAAGAATTCCATTCACGTGGTGACAACTCTCGCAAGGCTACCAAATTTTAGAAAATACAATATCAATGCCAATCTCTGAAACCATTATTTTTTAGAGAAACAGACTTTAGTGACATCTATATTAGTGATGTTTGACACTGGACATGAACAGGATATGAAATGAAATCCGAAAAATTTTGTACCTTTCAGAACTTAATAAATTGCATGTTTAAATAAACGGTATTGGTAAACTTGTTAATTATTGTATATACAACGAAAGTTACAATCACACATGCATACAGTTCACTGTTTAAAAACTATTGAAACTCCATAACAGGTAACATTCCATCGATATTTCAAAAGTTATGAACTGGGACAGTTTGATAGTAATATATTAGGCGAAGTCACTTGGCGCCACTTCATAATGTTTTGATAGAAGAGCGGTTTACTCTACATAGTTTACTCTACACACTTCTATTGTAGCACTAAATATAATAATTTTATTACAGTTGTATAATATAGAATATACATTTTTCTCTTGTATTATCTGCAGTAAGTTTATTAACAGCTTCATTTTTTCAACCATACTATTTCTATGGAATAATAACGGAAATATAAATGAAAAGCAACCATTTTTTTTTTACAGAGGTTTCACTTGCGCCGGCCATTTATAGATTTTTTTTAACAGAATATTGAAGTAATAATAATAAATATGAAAGGTAAAGGTGGAAAAACGAATCGTAATTAAGATAATAAACCATGAAACGAAGATGAAGGATTTTAAGTAATTCCCCCGAAATCAAAGGTAGCTTGACTCGTAAAAAAAGATTTGACCCGCAAAGTAATTCTTAATGCGGTTCCCGCGCCACTTCCCGCACATCCTCTAGTCATTGGGGATGCTCCCCTCTGCCGTGCTGACCGTTAACGAGCAATCAAATCGCCTACGCTCGCGCGCAAGGTATAAAAATTAGATATAGTAAGTTTCCTGTTTCCTGAAAAAATTTCAACCGTCCTAAAATTACTCGGATCATTTTCCGCTACGAAATCGACATCGAGTTCTTATCATTCTCAACCATAAAAGTTTCAGGTATAACTTTTTTCCACGACTTGTTCGTAAATTAATTACAAGCTCATTCCAGGAATTTTGTTTTGTTTTTTCAGATATGAGTTCCATTTGCCGGATCGAAAACTAGTTTGTGCGTATACTAGCTGCTTCGGGATTTGTATGAGTTAATGTCGATCATCCTGATGATCTATATTACAGAGTGTACCCAGAACGGATGTAGCGATAGATCGGTGTCACGTGAACCCTCCGGATATACTAGCTTCCTAGTCTTGCTCACCTACTTTATCGTGCTCTTCCATTTCGTCGGAAAGTGCAGAAATTTGATTTGTGAAAAGCAAGGAAAACGGGGAGTGAAATCCATTGCGTTATATTTTCATTTCTAATAAAAATATTTATAAACATTTCCATTGCAGGGGATATTATGAATTGATTATTTGCGAGGACCGAAATCGCTCAGGGTCAGTTATAGTGGACAAGATCTTTTACATTAGTAAGATTACACTCTTCAGATAATTAAATTGACCTTTCTAATTATTTCTTATTATTCTTTTAGGGTAAATGCGTTTGGATAAGCGCATGGAAATTACACTATTGGATAGTGTTGGATACAATCTTGTTATATAGCCGCGAACAGAGTTGCAGTAATGGAAGATTTTTTAAATTTGCAACATAGCGTTACATAGAGTATTTCATAGTTTCTAAGTTTGTAAATATTGTTATTTAGAAGTTTCTAAATTAAAATCTTGTTATCTCCATTTCAGAGGATGTTATTGGTCTAATATCATAATGTCAAGTTACTCAAGCCAATTGGCCTCAACTTTAACTCTAAGTGTAAGGCAAAATGAAGAGTTCATTTGGAAAATGATCATCAGCGGATAAGGAAAACAGTCAATACACATGCAAATGTATGGTGGACAATAAAGAGCACAGCTTCGTCGGGATAGCCGTCAACTTGATGATGATATACTGTTGCGATCTTGGTGACCCTCTTTCTCCTTGTTTTCCTCGTCCCCCGTTGCCTCCCGTGCTTACCGGCACGAGTGAGCGAGCGCGCGCGCGGAATAAACGCGTGACACCGATGTAAACGGCAAGGGTGGACCGGGGGAAAAAAAGGAAAAGGGGGATCCCCCGATTTCGTACCCCCGATATTTCAGCTAGTTCGCCGTCGAAAGCGAACTCCCGATTCCAGTTCTGAACGGGCCGGCTGAGCATTCGCATCGTGCATCGGGACAGGTCCAGATCATTGGAAGTTGACAGAAAAAGCAACAGGCGAAGAGAAACACGTTCTCCTCGTTGATGTAGATCGTGCGGAGTAATCGATGATCGTAACGTTGCTGGAACCGTCAGGATCGAGAGATCACACATTGGCTCTTGATCGCTGAACACTAGTGTGACATCCCTCGACGATTCGACCCGGAAATGTCAACCGATGCGTGAAGGATCAAGGGTGTGCAGTGCAGTGCATACTTGATTTTTGAAAGGAAAAAGTTCGAAGCACGACATTTCCCGCGCTACGACACCGGAAACTCGCGGAGGACCATCGTGATCACGGAAGAGCGTTTGAACTAGGATAGTATCCCGAGATCGATAGTCGGTTACAATTAGGTTTGTATAATATTGTTTTGTCGCGAAAAATTAAGAACGAGACGAAGAATGATAACACGTGTCTGATAGTTTAACGCGCGATTTTTGAGCCGCGCCATTGACCGAGATACGAACGATCGTTGGAAAGGAAATCTGTAAAGAGAGAGTAAGGGAGAGTAATTAATGGTAAAGCGAAGAATTCAAGATCATAGCAATGTCGATTATGCGGAACAACGCATTCTCGGCTAATTAGAATATAGCTGTTTTTTATGAGCGTGGAAGAGGAAGAGGGAGTCAATAGATCGGCCGCGAAGGGGCCAGGGAAGGATGAGCCTTAGGGGAACGCGGACTCGGATATTCATTACACGGTACCCCAGCCGGACATTCGTATTTAACTATATCGCATCGATTTTACTTTTGCGTCTTAATTCTTCCTTATCGATTTTCACGCCTGGCGTTAATTGTCAATTTTGCCAGGACCCTTCAGTTCATCACATTGTCAGTTAAGTTTCAACGGTACTTTGAAGCTTTTATTACTAATTGATAAGAATAAACAAATGAAAGAATATTTCGTTGAAATTAAATCTAACTATTTTTCTTCAGCATTCTTCTAAATGCCATTGCTTCTTGAACACTCAAAATTTTATTATAAATTCTAAATCAGTTTTCTGTAGGACTAAGAATAATTTGTTAATTTGTTTGAAGTTGATTCTTGTCTCTGCAACATTGTACTTCTCTTTGTTACATTATTTGCAAACATAGTTCTTTTAAGTACAAACCCTGATGGGCAGATCAAGGGAATCATACTACTCTATGATTATTTATATTTTATACAAAATAAAGTTAGTTCAACATTATCTTTGGTACATGTGAAATTGGAATGTATGAATTATATGAAAGAAATTTCAACATTAACTCATTATTTTGTAAATTTTTCTATGTAATAGCATTATACCACATCTGATTTGTTGAACATAAATAACATTTGAAAAACTGGACCCAATAGTGCTGAAATATTGTATACCCAAGTTCTAACATTTCATCAAGAAATCTTCACCAATTTCAATATTTAAAACGCTGAATTATCACTAGTCATTATGAACAATGTTGAAGAAAAGTTGAATTTAACAGAGTGATTTCGTACTCTCATCAATAAATTGATATTAAAAATATTACTAAAAAGTTTACCACCTAGGTCGAAATAATCTCCCAATTTTCTTTTCAAGTTCGACAATTTAGTTCAGTGTTAGACTCCAGTTTCCAGTCAGCTGGTATCCTTGAATTTCAAGGTGTAATAGCTTTCCGCAGATTTTCCACGCGACGAAACGCGAATCGTGTCCGGTTCCGAAAAAAACTCGGTCGAACTCATTTTCCGTAAATCACCTCCTTCGGGAGAACCTTGAGAACAGAAGATTTTGCGACGCGTCCAAATTATCCTGGAGTAATTGAAAGAAAGAGAGATGTAACTGGTTCTAACATGTTTCATTGTCGACAGAAGCACTGTTATGTCTTCGCGGTAGTTCCGCGACAAGTGGAGGAACAGTCGAGAGAGGTCATCGAAGGGAACTTTTTCACGGCGAACTAGAGGAATTCAAAATGACGGAAGCGTCGAGGGAACCTGAACTAGCGGATCCAGAAAATTCGGACAAAACCGTGTTGAATCTGGCACCTTCGTCGAACAAAACGAAACCGCTACCAGAACGTGGTACATGGAGCACCAAGCTAGACTTCATTTTGAGCGTGGTAATTTTTTCGTTCTTTTCACACTCTTCACATTCTTTTGTTAACGATGCTAACTGATTATTATCCAAAGGTTGGTCTGGCGATCGGATTGGGAAACGTCTGGAGATTTCCATACCTATGTTACAAAAATGGTGGCGGTGCTTTTTTAATCCCGTATTTCTTGACTCTGGTATTAGCCGGAATTCCTATGTTTTTTATGGAGTTGGCTCTTGGACAAATGCTGACTGTTGGAGGCCTTGGTGTTTTTAAAATAGCACCACTTTTCAAAGGTATTGGGTACGCGGCTGCAGTTATGTCCTGTTGGATGAACGTTTACTACATCGTTATCCTTGCTTGGGCTATCTTCTACTTCTTCATGTCCATGCGTAGTGGTAAGTTGGAACATTGTAATGTTCCACTGCTATTTCAGCATTAGCGTAATTTTCTTCAGGAACTTCCCAACATTTCACCAACATTTTCATTAAGAATGTGATGCATTAAAACTGAATTTCATACTTTCCATACTTGGTGAAACGTTAGGAAAGTACATAGAAAATGAACCAAATAACTTTCTCTGTGTTCATAACCAGAATTGCCATGGGGTAGCTGCAACAATTATTGGAACACAAAGAACTGTGTAAACCCTTATGACAGAGACTCTCTAGTATGTTGGAATCAGGTAGTCAGACGTCGCAACATGGTCAAAATGTGCACCGTCAATGACGTCAACATGACGATCACAGAGCTTACTGATCCAGTGAAGGAATTCTGGGAGTAAGTCGAAACGTAAGAATACACTGAAGAACAATTTCGATACAAATCAAATATATCTTGCAGACGTCGAGCGCTTCAGATCAGCGAGGGTGTTGAGCACGTGGGTCACATCCGCTGGGAACTGGCTGGAACTCTTCTTTTAGTTTGGATCCTCTGCTACTTTTGCATTTGGAAAGGTGTCAAATGGACTGGGAAGGTTGTCTACTTCACCTCTTTGTTTCCTTATGTTCTACTGACGATCCTCCTGATTCGTGGCATCACTTTACCCGGGGCTATAGAAGGCATCAGATTCTACATCAGTCCTAATCTTTCCAAATTAAAGGAATCAGAGGTAGAAACATTGTAACATTCAATTCCCAAATTTGCAGATGTTCAAATATTCAAACTGAAAACTTCTAACTCATTACTAAATGTTTCAGGTGTGGATAGACGCAGTCACCCAAATTTTCTTCTCGTACGGATTGGGCTTAGGTACCCTGGTTGCCCTCGGCAGTTACAATAAGTTCACCAACAACGTTTACAAGGACGCTCTGATCGTTTGCTCGGTGAACTCTTCGACGAGTATGTTCGCCGGTTTCGTCATATTTTCCGTGGTGGGCTTTATGGCTCACGAGCAGCAGAAGCCTGTCGCGGAAGTTGCCGCTTCCGGTCCGGGATTAGCTTTCTTAGCTTACCCTTCAGCAGTTCTTCAGCTTCCTGGAGCACCTCTCTGGTCTTGTCTTTTCTTCTTCATGCTTCTTCTCATCGGTTTGGATTCACAGTTCTGTACCATGGAAGGTTTTATCACTGCCATGGTGAGTTTTTGACAAAGACATTTGTAATGAGGTATCTTTTTAACAAAGTTCTTTTGATTATCGACAAATTATTTTCAAGGTGGACGAATGGCCACAACTGCTTCGCCGACGTAAAGAACTCTTCATCGCGATCGTATGCGTGCTTTCCTATATTATAGGTTTATCTTGCATCTCTCAAGGCGGCATGTACGTCTTCCAGATCCTTGACTCGTACGCCGTTTCCGGTTTCTGTCTGCTTTTCCTCATTTTCTTCGAGTGCATCTCGATAAGCTGGGCATTCGGTGTCAACCGATTTTACGACGCTATCAAAGACATGATAGGATATTATCCTCTTATGTGGTGGAAACTGTGTTGGACCGTTACCACTCCAATGATTTGTGTGGTAAGTTAATGGTATCATTTTTTGCAACTTTCAATACAGTTTGAGAAAAATGTATGCTGACATTTAGTAGAGAGTTATATTAATTAAATTGTTGCTTACATTGTACCAGTACTATAATATCGTATATAATTTTAAATCTTTCAATTTACAATCAATCACTTTAACAGGGCGTCTTCATTTTCAACCTGGTACAATGGACACCAGTGAAATATTTGGACTATGAATATCCATGGTGGTCGCACGTGCTCGGCTGGATGACAGCCTTATCCTCAATGCTCTGCATACCAGGTTACATGCTTTATGCTTGGATGACAACACCTGGCGATAGGTCTACGGTAAATCCGAATTTTTATCATTGTTCTCGATTTCACGATCCATACAGAGCTTAACTATTTTTCTTTGCGTATTTATTTCCAGAAATTCAAGCTGTTAGTACGAATAGAAGACGATGTAACAAGTCTACGAATGAAAATGGGTCAGCCATCGGTCGAATTGACACCACTTTAACTGCCACGGGTTCATTTCGATCCTAACACGGATTTATCGTCCTAATCTTTTATTATTTCCTATCATTAATTTAACGAGGACAACGTTGTAATATCATTCGATGGTTGTCGCCTCTGTTTTTTGTTCTTTTTTTTTGTAAAATTACTTTTCTCGTTGATTCGAAACGAACCTTTCATTGTGTTCCTGTTTGCGAAAAAACAAAACGACGCGTATTATTTGAATGAACTATTAATTGCCTAGACTAGACCTAGACTCTAGGTGATAATTCATAGATTCGAACGGGAGCTCCCATCAAAGTAGAAGGCGGCTAAAAGTGTTCAGAAATCGCGCGTTTAGTGTTCTAGCTTAAGTGTATTTAATAATTTACAAGTGAGTACAAGTAATTATTGGCGTACGCGAATAGTTCACAAAATTGAGCTTGAAGATCGTTGTTTTATTGTTCTCGAGAATGATTCAGAACATCCTATTCGAAACGTTGAAACTATTCGTGTAAGTCTGACAAATTTAGCTGCTAACTTACTCTAGCAATTGCTAACTTACTAGCAAATATCGGGCGTGTACCATAAACAAAAAAAAAACTATTGCACTTCTTGAATTTAATTATTTAAGTACACGTATATTTACGCTGCCATAATTATTATATATTTTATCGTTCGATCGATCGATAAGCCGAAATGTTTTTTCTTTTTTATATGATTACAAAAATGTCTCGGTTTACGCGCGATTCTGCAGACGGTGTACAGTAGCGAGCACGTTAGTCTTCTTTAAGAAAAATGGCGATATAGCGGAAAGAAATCCCACTTGTGGTTTTTGGTTGATTTTCAAATTTAGAAATTTAGTAATTTCAGCTATTGAATTTAAAAATTGACAAATTTCTGGATATTTACGAGTTTGTGAATTTGGAGTATTATTTAAAGGAAGTCTACATTGCACCCGAGTGTAGGTGCAAATAATACTGATAAGAAAAATTGTAGATTCGCGTAGATGAAATATGGTAGTAGATTGCATTACTAATAAAAAAATATTATTAATATCTACTGATCGATTTCGAAATCATTTTGGAATTAAAATCTATTGTATATTTAAATTATCAGGATTAGTTATTTTATTAGTATCTATTGTAGTTATGTACACAGCGTTTCTTCTTGTAGACGAAATAACTTCGATGTGAGAAACGACGAAAAATAGGAACAAAGAATCTGTAATGTGAAATCTTTTTGGTAAATAAAGATAAGTACCAAAAATTATTTTGTTTGTTACTACTAACAAATAAAGCTTTTTCTTTTAATTATTTATGAATTCCAAATTTTCAATTTAATGTTGAATCAAATAATGGCCAATCAAAACTGGGCATTGGTTTATTTTGTACCCTCATCACAATGGCTTCCCCCCATCCTGAAGGATATCTGTTCCTATACATGTATTCCTAGGTGCATGATTTTTTAAAAACCAAGATGGCAGCGTGGTTGATCTGAAGGGTGTAACCATAAAAACTGAATCCTATTTACGTGTACAGTTTCCATATGAACAAAGGAGTGATGTTTTTTATGTGGATTTGAAAAGTAATGAAATTTTCAGTGGTGTAATTGTATACTTTTTTACTGGCGAAATTTCGTGGAAAAAAACTTGCTGTATTAATTACAGTAAATAAATAACATGATAGAAAAGAATGAAGAAAACACTGAAAATGATAACAATATTGTTAGGATAAGGGTTATAGCCGATAAAAGAACATTTTTAGAGAAACAATTTCTTCAGGTAATATTGTTTGTCATTTCATCTGTATCTTGTTTAGCACTTTAATATTTGTTAACATTTACTTTAAGGTTATGTCTATTGTACTGTTTTTATTAAAATCATAATTTTATTATAATAATCATCTGTGACTTTTTTGTATTCATTTATTGTGTGTAATTAATTTCAAGGTTCAAGAAGAAATTAAAATATGTTTTGCTCAACTGGCAGAGACATTATATGCTAGAGAAAAACAACTTTTGCGACAATCAGAAGCAATTTATAGGCAGCAGGTATCTTTGGCATTATCTAGCCAAGAAATTCTTCCTCCATCTGTAGCAGTATTAGATGAAAAAAATGCTCTTGAGGAGCAGATTAAACAGTTCGGAAGAATAGAACTTATAGGATCCAATTCAACAGCAATAACTAATTTAGAACCATATAAAATTCAGGAATACCAAGATATTAGCAAAGATCATGTCTGCTTTGATAAGTCTATCAAAAATACAGAAATCAGTCCTTCTGATACGAAAGCTGAATTTTCTTCTACAACCGAAAATAAAAATATGCAAAATACTTCTTGCGGATTGAGGACATCTAGTGTAACAAACATAATAGGAAATTCCAGCCAAATTTTTGATTTCCAAGATAAAAATTCTCAAGAAGATCTTAACTGTTCCTCGAAAATGGATATAGAGTTTCAAAAAAATGATTTCAACTTGCAAGTTCTTGATACGGATCAGCAAGAAAATGGAAAAAGTTATAAAAATTCAGGAAGAAATATTATGGAAGAACAACATAATTCTTATGGACACACAGAACAAGTTCAACAATGGTTGGATCAAATACTTCTAGAAACAGAAATAGAACCAACCATTCATGAAGTGGAAAAGTTACCTGAAATATCAGATACTTATATCTGCACAAAGCTTCCATTAGAAACATAAAAATTGTACCTAACTAAACAATTTACTCAACCCACCGTATGAGTTTGTATTCTGTATTTATTTTTAGTTTCTTCTATGCTAGAAAATACTTCTTTTTGGGGTCATTCATTCATTGTACTTGAATCATTCATTCTCATAGTATCTTTCTCTATTTCATTTATTTATTTGTACCTATGGTAATTAATTATGAACTGTTTCATAGCTAAAGACCACAAGTACTATTATGGATTAAGTATATCATTGGTACTTTTATTGGTACTAAGAATCTACTAACTGTTATAGCTTTTGAATTTGTAATTATAATTTTAATATTTTAAAACAAAAGTGTGACAGTTTAACTTAACTTTATTTATATCATATGCATAAATAATTATATTATCATTTAAAACGCATTATATGCTAAGGTCATATCGGTTATGTTACAATATTTTAATAATTATTTTTAATAATTGTATTCTTTTACTTACCAGTGAATAAAAATTGTTTTTATTTTAAATATTTTTTTCTTTTTTTATTCTTACGTTCTATCTTTACAGAAAATAAAATTAAAAAAAAAAAAAAAAAAAAAAAAAAAACTAAACAGGCTATTAAAACTGGAAAAAATATAATAAATGTTATAATTGAACAGTAGTTATATGCATATCCCTTAACCTTTTATTACTTAATACACTTCATACTTCATGCAACATTTCGATCTTTTTTATGTACATCTACAAATTGCTATTTGTTTAGTAAATACCAACAAGTGCAATCTGAATCCAAGATATATTCAAAATCCATGTTAAACAAACATATGTGCGCATGTGTGTGGTTAAATTTATACCTAATTGTATTTCTAGTTTTATTAAAGGTTTAATTACTAACAAATTTATACAGTATTCAACTTATCTGTCGTATCATTTTTTTATATTTGTTTGTAGTAAATCATTGGGTAAATTAGTTTGATTATTGACAGTTAGTAGAAAAAATAATTGAGCACCTTTGTATAGTTTATTAGTTACTAAACAATTAAATAAGTACAGATAACCACCACCTTTTGTATGTACAGACGCCAGCGTAGTAGTGTCAATTGGGAGTTTATGTCCAGCATCAGGATTTTGTTTTCCAGGAACCGACTTGTTAGCAAAAAATCTGCGACTAGGATCAAATCTGGGTCATAAGGGAGAAAATGGGTTGTGAATATACCTCCCTTGGAACCTCAGAATTATAGATTTAATCCATCATTTTAACGATACTTGGTAGAAGACCCAGTCTTCGAAGAAAGAGGGTACAAAAGCGCTATCTTTGGTAAACGTTACGGGTATACAAAGCTGTGAGAGTACTTCTTCATACATTTGTAATGATTCTGGACAAGATGCTCCATTACCCTTTAAAAGAAAAGGTATTGTTAACTATAACTTTCAAAATTCAACTAGAATATTACAAAAAATAAATAAGTACACAGACAGAGCTAAAACTAAATTATTTTGTTCAATTAAAATATTTCTACACACATGAGTCATGTATTTTCCAGTAGGCTTTAAAACTTTCATTGAAGAATTTAAAATCAGTCTGATGAAGTCCCATGCATCACCATGTGGTGTAGTACTAATGGGTATGTCTGTAAGATCACCAAAGACATAATCGAACTGTCGACCTTCCTCAATCATATGTGCCAAAGTCTTTGCACAATCTCCAACAATAATCTATAAATTTTTTATTTTTTATTAAAAATTCCTGTCATTTCATATTACATTATTCAAAGCAAACTTTTCTTGGAACTTACCTCATAGTTTTCTCCCTTTCTTTTATCCAAACAATCTCCACATATGCTTCTCATATGTTGACTACAAGCTTTTATTACAATATCATCAATCTGAAAATAAAGTTACTCTTTTCAGTAAATAGTAGTACATATTTTTATGATATATATTATAATGTACTATTTGATGTTTTTAAATAAATAACTCAACGCACTTCTAACATGGTGACAAATTTCGGCTTTTCCTTCAACAATTCCCAAAGTAAACCACCATCTCCTCCTCCTAAAATAACTATCTCTTTTCCTGTATAACTCTCTTTTCCACGTTGCATTAAAGTTTCTGTATATATAAGGTCTGCTTCAGATATATCTAAAAATATGATTTATTTTTACAAGTTCTGTTCTTGTTTATTTTTGAAAGGTTTTAAGTCTATGTTCAATTAATTTAAAAAACATAACATTTTTTTATTCCTTACTTTGTAGTTCATCAAGAACCAACAGATTCCCTAGTGACTTTGAATGGACAATTTGCACTTTTTGGTAAGGAGAACGTGCCTCAAAGACCAATTTATCTATGTCATATTCAAGTAGTCTATCATCTTAAAAAGAAAAGAAGAACTTTATAATAATCTTAAAAAGTTTAAAGGTAAAATAACTGCATAAAGAAGCATTTAATAGACACATGCGATGCAAAGCGCAAATCTGTAAAAAAATAATTCATTTTTACATGTAAAATAAAAATAATAACAACGGTAGGATAAAAGACTCAAAAGTTTTATATGTATATCACTAAAACTATAATATTAATTATCTATTACTTCTTAGGTACTTGTTCCTAATATATATAAATTAGATACTCAAAATGGCATGTAAAATATAAGTATGAACATATAAGGATGGTAAATTCCACATAATTTTAAACATGTTTGATGTTATTTTTTGTAGTTGCTGTTTTTTCAGCAAATTATTGCATTCATATAGATACTGCAACAAAAGTTATAAAGCAAATAAGAATAAATAAAGGTTTATTACTGAATAAGGAAATGAAAATGATGTCTCAAAATGGAAGTAAATATGCATGAATACCTAAATCAAAACTAAGATGACATATAATATGGATGTAAAAACTGTAAGGTAGTAGCATTGATAATTTTGCACGTGAAATACTGAAAATAATGTTACTGTGATGGCATAGAAAAATGTACAAGTAATCGAATGAGTAGACCAAAGCAGTTTTCGTGTTTACGACGCATGATAAAATAAAAAAATTGTGCGGACATAGTGCTCCGCTTGTACCGTAAACAGAATAATAAATAAAAAACTCACCGGCGGTAGGAAAGTATCTCTCAAAAGGTCCGCCGCGTTTAATCGGTGTAAGCGTGTGCGATCGCGTAGAGGCTGCTGCCGCCTGCAACGCTGTCTCCAATTCTCTGGCCAACTAAAGGCGGCCATGACAAGCGAACCGACGAATAAAAAAAAAACAGAAACTATCTGGTTAAACCAATCGTAACAACTCTCCTTTCACGTATGAATCAAGAGTCATTTTGAAATCCCTTTGCCGAAAAACTAAAAAGAAAACCCGGGAAGAAGTAGACGCTGACCGGGAAAAAAAGTAACCAATCGGAGCTGTTGGTGTTTTTAGAGTGCAACGAAATCAATTCGCATGATGGTAAGGTGCTATAGATAAACTAAGTATGGAAACTAATTGGGGAAGTGGTTTCTACCTGATAGTGTCAGATAGAGGTCATATACGGTTCCTCGCCTTACTGGTGGCAGGCGCTTGCTGCGTTGGCTGTTCAGAGCCATCGCAACGTCCGCTTCCAGGTATCGCCACTGCTACAAGGTCCTCTTTGTTACGCGTGTTTCTTCCGCATATAGTAAAATTTCTACTTATTTCTATAATAGTAATCATCAAACGATGATCTTTTACAATATATTTATCTTGCAACTGTTTCAATATCAAAAATTGCTACGCGATGATACGAATTGTTTCGACAAATGCATCAGTGCATTTTTACACTTTTTTTCAATGGTATATTCAGTGTAACAATCCTTTCATAACATTAATTGTTATGTAACAAGATGTACCTTGTAATGACCCCATGTTTGAGAGATACAAAAGCTGACTTTGTTTCTGATAGCCATGAAAGGCAACTAAATATTGTGAAGTTTGCAACTAGATATTGCAAAATGATTGTTATACTTTACATAAAGGACTTTACCTCAAAATCCAGAAGTGCCTCCTCATCATCTCTCTTGTAATATTCAATGTTAAGGGTGATCAGTCCTTCGGTATAGCCTCGAATAGTGATTAGACTACCTCTGGGGCCCGTATAGAGAATCAAGAGACTTCCATCAATACTTGATTCAGTTAATGGCTTTAAACCATTAAAATGTTCTCCAAGGACATTGGCAATTGCTAATTTTAGACTTGAACGTTTCTCTACGTCTACTATGACGTTTGGTGGAACTGTGAAGTCAAGAAGCACTGTGTGGGCAACCATTGTTGTAAATCTAAAATAAATTTTATGATTTATTACACTATATTTTTAATATATTTTTGTAATTTAATATTAAATAAAAGTTGAATATTAATACCTGTTTATTAGTATAAAATTATAATAAGATTAAGGAACCCTTATTTTCGCAATTCCTATACAAATCCTTGGTTAGCATAAAGATAAAGTAGATTTATAGAAAATTTCGTATCTAATTGGTGCCTAGGAAATAAAAAAAGAAATATTAAGGTTATGTTATAACACACTGCACATGCAAGGGTAAATAGGTTACATCGACTTAAACCAATAGTTCAATTTAAACAATCAAGTAATTAATCTCGTAAAGAATTACGTAAATGAATCTTCACTTCCATGTAAAGATAACTTTGAAATTATTTGATTTGAATTAAAATATTAAAACTTTGTACTGTATAGATTTCTCTTATTACAAAATAATATTAATGAAATTATGTATCTATCTCCGAATAATACTTTTATGAAAAAAATGTGCTTCTAACATAAATAAATATTATGTCGAAATTATGTATAAAATGAATTTATATAAATCAAAAATCAAAAAATTATTTAATATTGATTGTTTAATTAACCCGACAGTAGTAACATTTATAATAAACAAATAGTAATGTAATAAAATATTTGTAATTTTATTTATATTAAAATGAAAGAATAATACTTGTTAAACAATTTATCACTCACTATAATACTGTAAATATTAATGAGTATTGTTAACACATATTAGCGAGATTGGTTAATACTGTAAATGAAGACAGAAATTATACTCACAAATTAGAATATATAATTCTTGATTACAAGAATCTATAGTTTGTAAGATAAAAATGCATCCGTGGCACAGGTCGTTGTGTTACAATGTGTGCGTATCAGTACTACCAATTGTGCGTATAGAAAAATACCTAGATGATTTTAAATTGAAAAAAAAGTTCTTTCCACAATGCGATACGCATTACATTGAATTAAAATAATTACTAAAATTATTGATTTCATAAATTATACAAGTAATTCAACTATTTCAGAAAATGTATGGATTTATTCAACTATATTACAAAATAGCTTATCATAGTTTAAAATTGGTATTTTAATCACTAGCATTGTCACCCTGATTGTTATCTTCTCTTTCGCTTTCTGAACCACTTCCGGAATTCGATTCTTCGTCCGAATCTTTAAGAACTTTTCCTTTAATGTTCTTTTTCGGTCTTAAGGTTTCAAAATCTGAACCTTCCTCGTCTGACGAATATATATTTGACGCTAAAAAGTATAAAGAATATAAATATTTACTTCAGAAAATTTGCCTGATTTATATATAAAACTTACCTTTGACAGGAATATTTATTCCTTTCTTATATTTATTCTTAATCGCTGCGAGAGAAATTGCACCTTCATCATCGGAGCCATCATCATGGTAAGCATCACCACCATATCCACTCACGGATCTTCCAGTTGTTCCTCTACCTGCAGTACTCTTTTTTGTTTTACTTTGTACTCTCATTGCCATTCGTAGTTTCTCTTCTTCTTTCTACAAATAATTATAGGAATTTTTAATACAATGATTGATTGTTAATCTAATACTGTATACACATATTTTTCATGATAATTTATGTAAATGAATATAACGTACTTTAATCATTTCATATCTATTTTGATCTGGATTAGTTCCTACTTGAGACAAAACCTTTATACCAGAAGTTTTTTGTGATCTATCTGCCAGAGACATAGTCATCTTTCTATGAGTGAAAGATTCTGTAGAATGTGGACGGAATGTCAATTTAGTTCTGAATACTGCTTGACCTTGGAGACCAGTTCCTTGACGAATATAAAGATGATTGTGATCGCCTTGAAGTGGCTGTTTATACACGTCAAAAATTTCGGAACCCAGGTGTAAAGACATACTACCGTCGGACCACTTTACAAATCTGGCATTACTTTCCTTAACAACTTTACCCTCGTCATCAAAAGTTTCTTTCCATCTAAGAGTATTTTCAACTTTTAATTTTAATCTAGCTCGTCCTTCTTCATCCAAAGTCTCTTCCTCATCAATTTCATCTTCATATGTTTCTGTATCAAATGGTCGTGTTTCTACAGAAAGAAAATTCGGAAGCTTAACAAAGTGTATTTCACGACCTAAATCTGTTGTGATTTTTGGAATCTCTACATCAATTCTTGTTTCTGGTGGAGGTTCAGGTTCTTCTTCCTTTTCTTTATCCACATCCTAAACAAATTCAAGAACAAATTTAACAATTATAGTCACTTTACTTATCAATAATGTTTTAATGACAATATTTAATACACACATCTTCAATAACTGCTTGACTAGGACCCTCACCACCACTGTCGGATCTATCTGGGCTTCTGCTTTTGCTCCTACTTCTACTTCTGCTTTTACTTCGACTTCGACTTCTGCTTTTACTTTTGCTTCTACTTCTACTTCTACTTCTACTTTTACTTAGACTTTTTTCTCTCTTCCTTTCTTCTTTGTCTTTTTCATCATCTGTACTTATGTCGCTAGCATCTCCAAAAAGAGCATCTGCTGTTGGAGCTAAAGCTTCTTTTTCTGGTGGTTCACTTTCTGAATCTGAATCTATTAGCGGTTTTGCTTTTTTTACACTATCTTCTGGCTCAGAAGCAGAACCACTATTATCTTCTTTTTGAGCTGGACTTCCTTCTACATCGCTATCATTTGACTTTACACTATCTGCAATATAATGATACTGATAACTTTATTTTAAGTACAAACACTAATAGCATTTTTTGTTCACATACCACCCCTTGTTTTTACAGACTTCTCTGATTCATTATCATCCTTATTTTCTTCAGAGTTGTCTGGTTTCTGTTCAGAATCAACATCTTTGGGTCCTAAATAGTCTGGAGAATTTACCATTCTAAAAAAAATTGACAGTTAATAAAAGAAATTATTTTTTATTGATTTGTAAATTACATGAAACGATTTCAGCAATTAAGATTATTTTTGTAACAATCATGAAGAACTGAATGTATGTCATATTTATTATACAAAATAATGATTCTTTGAAACTACTTAGAGAACTAAACCATCAGTATAATAATTTTCATTTACAAGTACTTTAACTATAAATTTACTAACTCTTTCGATTTTAGTCTTTCTGGTGTTGTGTTGTTTAATACATTAGAGCAAGTCCGTCTCGCTCTAACCTCCCAAAAATCAAAGAAAAGCAAATGTACTGTAAGGAACTGTACAACCGGGTGCAAATCTGGCTTCCCTGGGGAAAATGGCGACGGAGGGGAACCGGTCCCCACCATCGCTATTCTGACAATCATTATATCTAGCAGGCATTCATAAGAAGATAAATAATACAATTTTCACGAAAACGGACCCACAGGTTATATTACAAACAGCATGAAATCAATATTAATAAATATGTAATAAATATATAGCATAATCAATGAAATCAATATATTTGTTCAAAAATGGAACAAATGGCACCATCTTTCCGACAAGTAGAGTACACTTTTGAAACTGTAGTTTAATTCCCGTCGATAATATAGGGATTGACATAATGATAGAAAATTTTCTTTCGAATATAGTGACACTAATTCCCTGTAAAGACATTTCTTTGACTTTGTAGCACAATAAAGCAAAAATGTTTTATTTGACTAAAGAACGAAATTTTTTATTTCTGTAGTTTCACACCTGACCGCTAGATGACTCTAGTGGTACTTTTCCCGACGGTATGTGGGAAAATATGAATTTTAAAAGTACGCGCCAAAATAAGGCATGTAAAATGTTTTCAACTTTTTAAATTAATTGCTTTACAGTAACCAAGTGACTTTTATATCTTTTTTAAAAAGATATGTAAAATATATAAAATATATGAAATATATAAAATATATAAAATATTGTCACAAGATATGCATGCATCTTGTATTGACACGTATTTAAACGTCAAAGCCACGGTTATTTCGCGTTCATCAGAAAAAAGGTGTCATCGAACTATGACGAATTTCTCATTAGCACTATCGATTCATATGTCAAAACACATACACCGATTACAATAAAAAGAAACAGCAGCAAACATGCTAATAATTAACAGGATAGGTGTTACTTTTGTTCAAGTGTTACAAGAACTATTGGCTCGCAATTAATTTCCGATAAAGATAACAATTTATCATCGTAAAGCATTGAAAACCGTACAAGATTGGTTAAGCTGAACTTTGTTCAGCCGGCCACTTGCACGTTTTATTAATTATGAATTATTATTTCAATCTTCCAGATTCCTTCTTCGAATATGCAAAACGCTGCGTAAGTTGGCAACGTGGAATTTAATAGATATCCGTTAATATAATAATAACAGGGGTCACTGTGACATGGACGAAACTTTTTTTTCCCTCAAGAATCGTTTTATTTCATCGTTTATTACCAGCGCGTTAATCGTTCAACCATACATATATTTTCACGTAAGATGTGTTAGATGCGGAAAGCATGAAAAAATTATTGTAGAAACAAAAATGAACGCGTTATATTTCTTCGTCCCCAAATAATTTTAAACTAATAGTGACAAATAGTGTCGCCAATAAATTTAGCAAGATCTCCGTCAAATTTTCAGTCAATATTTTGATGGTTAGATTAGGTTAGGTCTGGTACCGAGATAATTCCCCGCTCGATAATTCCTCGCCCAATAATTCCACGCTAGATAATTCTCCCCAGG